GTGAGTGACAGTGAGTGACAGTGAGTGAGTGACAGTGAGTGAGTGACAGTGAGTGACTGTGTGAGTGACAGTGAGTGAGTGACAGTGAGTAAGGGACAGTGAGTGAGTGACAGTGAGTGAGTGACAGTGAGTGACAGTGAGTGAGTGACAGTGAGTGAGTGACAGTGAGTGAGTGACTGTGAGTGAGTGAGTGACAGTGAGTGAGTGACTGACATTGATTGAGTGACTGACATTGAGTGAGTGACTGTGAGTGAGTGACTGTGAGTGACTGAGTGAGTGACTGTGAGTGAGTGACAGTGAGTGAGTGACTGTGAGTGAGTGACAGTGAGTGAGTGACAGTGAGTGAATTAGTGAGTGACAGTGAGTGAGTGACTGTGAGTGAGTGACAGTGAGTGAGTGACTGAGTGAGTGACTGAGTGAGTGACTGACAGTGAGTTAGTGACTGTGAGTGGGTGACTGTGAGTGAGTGACTGTGAGTGACTGTGAGTGAGTGAGTGACAGTGAGTGACAGTGAGTGAGTGACTGTGAGTGAGTGACAGTGAGTGACTGAGTGAGTGACTGAGTGAGTGACAGTGAGTGACTGTGAGTGATTGACAGTGAGTGAGTGACTGAGTGAGTGACAGTGAGTGACTGTGAGTGAGTGACTGAGTGAGTGACTGTGAGTGAGTGACAGTGAGTGAGTGACTGTGAGTGACTATGAGTGAGTGAGTGAGTGACTGTGAGTGAGTGACTGTGAGTGAGTGACTGTGAGTGAGTGAGTGAGTGACAGTGAGTGACTGTGAGTGACTGTGAGTGAGTGAGTGAGTGACAGTGAGTGACAGCGAGTGAGTGACAGTGAGTGACAGCGAGTGAGTGACAGTGAGTGAGTGAGTGACACAGAGTGAGTGACAGTGAGTGAGTGACAGTGAGTGAGTGACAGTGAGTGAGTGACAGTGAGTGACTGAGTGACAGTGAGCGAGTGACAGCGAGTGAGTGACAGTGAGTGACTGAGTGACAGTGAGTGAGTGACAGTGAGTGAGTGACAGTGAGTGACTGAGTGACAGTGAGTGAGTGACAGTGAGTGAGTGACAGTGAGTGACTGAGTGACAGTGAGCGAGTGACAGCGAGTGAGTGGCAGTGAGTGAGTGACAGCGAGCGAGTGACAGCGAGCGAGTGACAGTGAGTGAGTGACAGTGAGTGACAGTAAGTGAGTGACAGTGAGTGACAGTGAGTGAGTGACAGTGAGTGAGTGACAGTGAGTGACAGTGAGTGAGTGACAGTGAGTGAGTGACAGTGAGTGAGTGACAGTGAGTGACAGACAGTGAGTGACAGTGAGTGACAGTGAGTGACAGCGAGTGAGTGACAGTGAGTGACAGCGAGTGAGTGAAGCGAGTGAGTGACAGTGAGTGACAATGAGTGACAGTGAGTGACAGTGAGTGAGTGACAGTGAGTGAGTGACAGCGAGTGACAGCGAGTGACAGTGAGTGACAGCGAGTGAGTGACAGTGAGTGACAGTGAGTGACAGTGAGTGACAGCGAGTGAGTGACAGTGAGTGACAGTGAGTGAGTGACAGTGAGTGACAGTGAGTGAGTGACAGTGAGTGACAGTGAGTGAGTGACAGTGAGTGAGTGACAGTGAGTGAGTGACAGTGAGTGACAGACAGTGAGTGACAGTGAGTGACAGCGAGTGAGTGACAGTGAGTGACAGTGAGTGACAGCGAGTGAGTGACAGTGAGTGACAGCGAGTGAGTGAAAGCGAGTGAGTGACAGTGAGTGACAATGAGTGACAGTGAGTGACAGTGAGTGAGTGACAGCGAGTGACAGCGAGTGACAGTGAGTGACAGCGAGTGAGTGACAGTGAGTGACAGTGAGTGACAGTGAGTGACAGTGAGTGAGTGAGAGTGAGTGACAGTGAGTGACAGTGAGTGAGTGAGTGACTGAGTGAGTGACAGTGAGTGACAGTGAGTGAGTGACAGTGAGTGAGTGACAGTGAGTGACTGTGTGAGTGACAGTGAGTGAGTGACAGTGAGTGAGTGACAGTGAGTGACAGTGAGTGAGTGACAGTGAGTGAGTGACTGTGAGTGAGTGTGAGTGAGTGACTGTGAGTGACAGTGAGTGACTGTGAGTGAGTGACTGTGAGTGACAGTGAGTGAGTGACAGTGAGTGAGTGACTGTGAGCGAGTGACTGTGAGTGAGTGACTGTGAGTGAGTGAGTGACAGTGAGTGACTGTGAGTGACAGTGAGTGACTGTGAGTGAGTGACAGTGAGTGAGTGACAGTGAGTGACTGAGTGACTGTGCGTTACAGTGAGTGAGTGACTGTGAGTGACAGTGAGTGAGTGAGAGTGAGTGACAGTGAGTGACAGTGAGTGAGTGACTGAGTGAGTGACAGTGAGTGACAGTGAGTGAGTGACAGTGAGTGAGTGACAGTGAGTGACTGTGTGAGTGACAGTGAGTGAGTGACAGTGAGTAAGGGACAGTGAGTGAGTGACAGTGAGTGAGTGACAGTGAGTGACAGTGAGTGAGTGACAGTGAGTGAGTGACTGTGAGTGAGTGAGTGACAGTGAGTGAGTGACTGACATTGATTGAGTGACTGACATTGAGTGAGTGACTGTGAGTGAGTGACTGTGAGTGACTGAGTGAGTGACTGTGAGTGAGTGACAGTGAGTGAGTGACTGTGAGTGAGTGACAGTGAGTGAGTGACAGTGAGTGAATTAGTGAGTGACAGTGAGTGAGTGACTGTGAGTGAGTGACAGTGAGTGACTGAGTGAGTGACTGAGTGAGTGACTGACAGTGAGTTAGTGGCTGTGAGTGGGTGACTGTGAGTGAGTGACTGTGAGTGAGTGACTGTGAGTGAGTGAGTGAGTGACAGTGAGTGACAGTGAGTGAGTGACTGTGAGTGAGTGACTGAGTGAGTGACTGAGTGAGTGACAGTGAGTGACTGTGAGTGATTGACAGTGAGTGAGTGACTGAGTGAGTGACAGTGAGTGACTGTGAGTGAGTGACAGTGAGTGAGTGACAGTGAGTGACTGAGTGACTGTGCGTTACAGTGAGTGAGTGAGAGTGAGTGACAGTGAGTGACAGTGAGTGAGTGACTGAGTGAGTGACAGTGAGTGACAGTGAGTGAGTGACAGTGAGTGAGTGACAGTGAGTGACTGTGTGAGTGACAGTGAGTGAGTGACAGTGAGTAAGGGACAGTGAGTGAGTGACAGTGAGTGAGTGACAGTGAGTGACAGTGAGTGAGTGACAGTGAGTGAGTGACAGTGAGTGAGTGACTGTGAGTGAGTGAGTGACAGTGAGTGAGTGACTGACATTGATTGAGTGACTGACATTGAGTGAGTGACTGTGAGTGAGTGACTGTGAGTGACTGAGTGAGTGACTGTGAGTGAGTGACAGTGAGTGAGTGACTGTGAGTGAGTGACAGTGAGTGAGTGACAGTGAGTGAATTAGTGAGTGACAGTGAGTGAGTGACTGTGAGTGAGTGACAGTGAGTGAGTGACTGAGTGAGTGACTGAGTGGGTGACTGACAGTGAGTTAGTGACTGTGAGTGGGTGACTGTGAGTGAGTGACTGTGAGTGAGTGACTGTGAGTGAGTGAGTGACAGTGAGTGACAGTGAGTGAGTGACTGTGAGTGAGTGACAGTGAGTGACTGAGTGAGTGACTGAGTGACAGTGAGTGACTGTGAGTGATTGACAGTGAGTGAGTGACTGAGTGAGTGACAGTGAGTGACTGTGAGTGAGTGACTGAGTGAGTGACTGTGAGTGAGTGACAGTGAGTGAGTGACTGTGAGTGACTATGAGTGAGTGAGTGAGTGACTGTGAGTGAGTGACTGTGAGTGAGTGACTGTGAGTGAGTGAGTGAGTGACAGTGAGTGACTGTGAGTGACTGTGAGTGAGTGAGTGAGTGACAGTGAGTGACAGCGAGTGAGTGACAGTGAGTGACAGTGAGTGACAGCGAGTGAGTGACAGTGAGTGAGTGAGTGACACAGAGTGAGTGACAGTGAGTGAGTGACAGTGAGTGAGTGACAGTGAGTGAGTGACAGTGAGTGACTGAGTGACAGTGAGCGAGTGACAGCGAGTGAGTGACAGTGAGTGACAGTGAGTGACAGCGAGTGAGTGGCAGTGAGTGAGTGACAGCGAGCGAGTGACAGCGAGCGAGTGACAGTGAGTGAGTGACAGTGAGTGACAGTAAGTGAGTGACAGTGAGTGACAGTGAGTGAGTGACAGTGAGTGAGTGACAGTGAGTGACAGTGAGTGAGTGACAGTGAGTGAGTGACAGTGAGTGAGTGACAGTGAGTGACAGACAGTGAGTGACAGTGAGTGACAGCGAGTGAGTGACAGTGAGTGACAGTGAGTGACAGCGAGTGAGTGACAGTGAGTGACAGCGAGTGAGTGAAAGCGAGTGAGTGACAGTGAGTGACAATGAGTGACAGTGAGTGACAGTGAGTGAGTGACAGTGAGTGAGTGACAGCGAGTGACAGCGAGTGACAGTGAGTGACAGCGAGTGAGTGACAGTGAGTGACAGTGAGTGACAGTGAGTGACAGCGAGTGAGTGACAGTGAGTGACAGTGAGTGAGTGACAGTGAGTGACAGTGAGTGAGTGACAGTGAGTGACAGCGAGTGAGTGACAGCGAGTGAGTGACAGTGAGTAACAGTGAGTGAGTGACAGTGAGTGACAGCGAGTGAGTGACAGTGAGTGACAGTGAGTGACAGTGAGTGACAGTGAGTTAGTGACTGAGTGACAGTGAGTGACAGTGAGTGAGTGACAGCGAGTGAGTGACAGTGAGTGACGGTGAGTGAGTGACAGTGAGTGGACGTGGAGACGGAACATGCGGGAGGGGTCGCGGTGCGGCAGCGACGGTGGAGGGACGGCAGCAGCAGCCTCGGGGCTCCACTCGGGGCCCTCTGTAATATTTCGTCTGCATACGTGTACGCCATCGTAAGATCGAAATATCGTAAGTCGGACCATCGTAACTCAGGGACTATCTGTATACATATTTTAATGGTATATAATTGCATTTACAGGAATCAAAAAACACGCTGAGGTTTGCCATCACAACCCTGTACAACCTGAGCCTGGTGCCGGAGCTGAAGTCGTGCTTCCACCAGGAGCTGGCGGCGGACGTGATGGCCTGCTACCTGGACGTGCCCGACGCTCCCTGCAAGCTGTGCGCTCTGGAAACGCTGGCCAGGATCTCCACTGAGCAGGACCTGGACATCATCTGTAACGCACAGGGTAACCCAGCAGATTCCTTCACAGTATGCAGCTGTCTGTATGTCAGCGGGAACTCGCATCTGCAGCCTGCCTGGGAGGCACCACACCGGTGCCGCGTCGCCACTGCAGTCGGCGCTTGTTGGCCGTGCCCGTGGGAGGGTCCCGGGCACTGGGTCAGATTGCTGCCTCGTCCATCATCGGCAGCATTGTCGCTGTTTTCCCTGCGGATGCATTTGCGCAAATCTGACCAACTGGTAGTAGTGAAACGGAGACAATTGTAGGTAGACTTCGCAACCGTGAAAATTGGTGATTATAACATGCTGATGAGCCCTAATAAGGATAAAACCGGTCCACAGTTGTCTCCGTTTGTTTCGCTACTGCTGGCAGTCGTTACATTTGCTCAAATATATTTGATTGTGCCCTAAGATAAGGGGACCACCAAGTGGTGCTGTGTAATTGATATAAATTGATGCCTTCGTCATGTATATGTGTAAATACATGGTGACAAGGATGATGATGGTCATGAATGCGATAATAATGATAGTGTAATAAAGGACTCGACCACGATGTCTGGCTTGGTGTCCTTTATTCGGTTCTTCTCTCTTAACCCGCACGGCTGTCCTTCTATAAGACTCTATACTGACACTGATACTGCTCTCCTGCAGTTTCTCCCCTCGTCGTTCTCTCAGCCTCTCTCTCCTCTCGTCGCTCTCGTAGCCTCTCCCTCACACACAGCCTCGCCGGCTGTGTTCCCCGCAGCTCCTCGTCCGCCTTCTCTCCAGCCGCCCCACCGCTGTCTTCTCTCGCAGCTCCGCTGGCTGCTCCCTTAGCTGGCCACCGCTGGCCGCCGCTGCCACCCCTTGGCTTTGCCCACGTGGCCTTACTCTGGTCCAGTCCCACTCGTTCTCCCTTCCTCTTCCGGTCTCCTCCCTTAAGAACCTTAACCTTTCCTCCCACGTCACCTAACTCCACCTCTCCGTGACGTCACATCCGGGAGGTCGCCCGCGCCCGCATTACACCACCCTCCCCCGTGGAGAAAAACCCAGCCGACCTCGGCTGAACAACACCAACAGTAATGCGGGCGAACCCGAGCGTAACACACCAAAGGACACCAAGCATGCAATATAACAGTAAGAACAATCAACACAACTCAACAATCAATAACGTAGCAGAAGCAGGCAATAAATACACAGTAAGAACAATACAACATAACAATCAACGAAACACAAGGGATTTAGAGCGTGTGCGGGTCGCCGGCCCGTCCCGGACGGTCGGCGGCCCATCCGCGGAACGGGAACGTGATTGAGTTTGAGGAGCGACAGGGTGAAATCCCCCTGTCGCTGTTGGAAGTCCACCAACGTCCCGTGTCCTTGAAGGATCAGTCTTGGGCTTGTCCCGCGGATGCGTCTGCAGCGGGGTCGGAAGGGCTGCAGGGCTCGAAGGACCCGCAGATCTGGCAGGCACCCTCCGAGCAGAGCGCCTCGTCCCCTCCGGTGTCAAGGCCGGCCTGCCTGGAACAGGTACGACAGGCGCTCTAGCAAGATCAATGGACGCAGGCGGGGGAGAGTCGGCAGCAACAGACCCCGGCAAGGCAACATTGGGAGATGATGCATCATGTAGGGGAGCAACATACGGTTTCAAGCGCGACGTGTGAACAAACCAGCGGCGAGAACCAATTTGAACACGCGCCGACTGAGGATTAGGAACCTCAATGAGGCGGACAGGCCCTCGCCAAGGTTTGTGAAATTTGGGAGAGGTACCCGGCCGCACCTGCGGGCAATGGAGCCAGGCCAGGTCCCCAACCTTCCAGGGGCACTCCCCTTTGGAACGCCGTGCGTACCTCTCATTTCGGGCCTGAGCTTTGGCCGTAGCCACACGGGCACTCTCCCGCGCCTCCGAGACCCGGCGAACAGTGTCCCGAATGTAGTCAGGAAGCGGTTTACAAGGTCCCCTCACACCGGTTCCCATCTGCACATCCATTGGCGGCACGTTTTCCCGACCATACATAAGGTAAAATGGCGAATAACCCGTAGCCGCATGAGGAGTCATCCTGTACGCCGAAAGCACCCCCGGGATGTGCAGGTCCCAATCCGATTGTTGCTCACTCACCGTGTGGCACAGCATGGCAGACAATGTCCGGTTTAGCCGCTCAACCATACCATCCGTTTGCGGATGGTATGGGGATGTCCGGACCTTCTTAGTCCCTAGGCCCGCGCATACTTCCGCCAATAATTTCGAAGAAAAATTTCGGCCCTGATCCGTAAGGAGTCTCTCCGGCGCACCCTTGTCCATAACATATCCGAACAAAAAGGCGTCGGTAATGGCCGCGGCCGATTGATCGGGCAACGGCCAGGCCATCGGCCAACGGGAGAGGTACTCAACCCCGACCAGCAAATATTTATTACCCCTCGCCGAAGGTGGGAAAGGTCCCAAAATGTCCAGTGCCACCAATTCATTGACCCGAGACACCCGAATTGACTGTAAGGGTGGCACATAAGGATGTTTAGGAGGCTTACGCCGGGCACAGTCAGGGCACGCGCGGACGTGCCCCACGACATCCGTCGACATGCCGTGCCAAAAATAATGACGTTGCAACGTCAACAAGGTCTTCTGCACACCCAGATGTAATAGCGTGTCACAATGGAGAGTTCTAATCAACTCGTATCGGAGGGACGCAGGCACCACTAGACGCCAGTGTTCCTGGAGACTTTCCCTCCACATAAGCAGACCATCTCGGACCGCGGTTTCCGGCGCACCCTCCGTAACCGGACCCCCAACCTCCACTTTGGATCGCTTCCGCAAGGACACTAACGACTCATCCATCATTTGCTCCCTTATCCAAACAGACCGTGGCAGATTCAAAACCCCATCAGTCGGCCCCGGTTCCACAGTAGCATCCGACTTCTCCACAGCCAATACCACCGGCTGAGGGGGGGGTAGGCTGGGCGCACATCTCTGCGTCCCCGACGCACATTTGCAAGGGGAGCGCTGCGGCAACCTAGAAAGTGCGTCTGCGTTCGCATGGCGCACCCCTTTACGATGGTGAATTTGAAATGAAAATTCTTGCAGCGTGTCCAACCAACGCGACAGCTGGCCGGAAGGTTGATCCATTTTAAGGGCATATTGCAAGGCCGCATGATCCGTACGTACGATAAAGGAACGGCCGTACAGGTACGGTCGAAACTGACGTAGGAAAAAAACAACGGCTAAGAGTTCCCTGCGAGTGACACAGTAGCGTGTTTCCGCGGGCGACAGGACCCGGCTACCATACGCAACGACGCGCTCTACGCCCCCTTTAGACTGAGACAACACCGCGCCAATACCTGTGTCGCTCGCATCCGTATCAAGAATGAACGGTTGATTGAAATCCGGATAATCCAATGTTGGGGCGGTAGCCAACAGATTACGCAGACTCTGAAAGGCCGCCTCTTCCGGCGGTCCCCACGCAAACTTACGTCCCTTACCCGTAAGGAGGTGCAAGGGCCTCGCGATGGTCGCAAAATTCGGTACAAATCTTCGATAATACGAGGCAAATCCCAGAAAGCGACGTACATCCCCCACGGTGACCGGAGTCGGCCAATCTCGGACGCACGCCGTTTTTTCCGGGTCCGTAGACACCCCCTCAGCACTCACGATGTGCCCCAAATAACGGACGGACCGTTGCAGTAGGTGACATTTCTTTGGTTTAAATTTCAAGTTCGCGGAGCGCATCCTCGCGAACACCGTCTCCAGCCGCCTTAAATGTTCATCAAATGTGCGGCTGAAGACGATGATATCGTCCAAATATATGAGACATGTCTCCCACTGCAACCCCGTCAAAACGAGTTCCATGAGCCTTTGAAATGTGGCAGGGGCCGCATTCAGCCCCATCGGAAGGCAGTTAAATTGAAACAACCCCTGCGGCGTACGGAATGCGGTCTTCTCCCGTGAGGGCTCGTCAAGGGGAAGCTGCCAAAATCCCGAAGAGAGGTCCAGTGTAGAGAAATACTTAGCCCCCGACAATGCGTCGAGGGAGTCGTCCATACGCGGCAGGGGATACGCATCTGCCACCGATATCTTATTCAATTTCGAAAGTCAACACAGAATCGCAATTTGCCATCCTTTTTCTTAACCAAAACCACAGGCGCGCCCCATGGGCTGTTCGACGGCGATATAATATCCGCAGCCAACATATCCTCCACTGCCCCCCGAACGTGTTCCCGCTCGGCCGGACTCATTCGGTGCGAATTCAACCGAATAGGGGCAGCGTCGCCTGTAGCAATGTGATGGTGAAGCAATGAGGTGCGTCCCAAATCCAAATCATTGGAGCTAAACACATCGGAATACGTCAATAACAATTTATGAAGCGCACCCCGTTGATCCACAGACAGGGAAGAATTTCCGTCACATAAGCTAGCAATCCAGCGGTCATCCGAAGCCACAGGCTCGGAAACACCAGCAACCACTCCCTGGCTATGCGAACAATCGTGAGCCGTAAATGCCGTGGTGGCATGTGCCACAACCGTGCCGGCTGGGACACAGACATTTTCCGTACCCGCATTGAGCACCTGCAAAAACGGTAATTGGTCTGGCCGGACGATGGTCTGCGCTCCGACCAGCGCCGATCCGGCCGTTATCGAGGCTGAAGGTGACAACAAGATCCCAACCGCTCCCAGCCGACCAGGCAGGGGCTTCCGATACCGCAGGGGAATAAGCATCTGTGAACCAGGTGGAATATCAACAGATGCCACGGATAGCGCCTGCACTTGTACGGCCGAAGCAGGTCGCCCCCAGGGCGACGGCAGAAACGAAATTTGACGGCCACCCGGCAGTTCAATACAATTCTCATTAATTTTGATCAAAATAGGCATCTTAGCCAGAAAATCAGTGCCCAATAAACAGGGAACTGCCAAGGATCTTGAAATCAACACAACGCCCGAGGCCGACACATCCCCAATAGATATTTTAGCGTCCACCTGGCCCACGATGCCCATACTACCCCCGTTCGCAGCGACGCACGACCCGTAAACCGGACGCACGGCCCCGGGTGGGATGCCTAACAGATGAAAAATGACATCCGAAATAATAGTCGCGGACGCCCCGGAATCGACCAAAATGCGCACGTCCACCCCTTGTATAGACCCCGGCACGGTGGACGAACCCGTAGCGGCCGCAACAACCCTCCGTGCCAATTTGCGCCACTGCGTCACAGAGCGACAAGGCCCCGTCGAAGGTCCCTCTTTAACAACAACACTATGACCGCACAACGAAGGTGATGGGTGAGGTGTAAAGCCTTGCCGGGTGTCTGGTGCGTGCCGACTTGCCTGTTTCGGTGGATCCTTGGGCGGCTTGGCCGGTAATGAGGCCTCCTGTTGTGGCGGACCCGGGATGCGGGCCCAGCAGTCCTTCGCGTAGTGGCCCTTCCGTCCGCAGCGGAAGCAATCGGCGTCGTTGCGCCGAAGCGCAGGCCTTGCATCGCGCCGCCCGCGTATCGGCGGTGCAGCACGAGAGGCCGGTCCACCGCGGCCTGACCATGGCACCGAGGCGGCCGTCAGCTCCTGAGGGCCCCGCTCATCCGGCACGTATACCGACTTCGTAGGGTCCCAACCCAGAGCGCCACCCTCCGCGACGGGCCCCCCTGTCCACGCCGTGACCTGTTTCCATCGTCGTAGGTTGAATTGTGCATCCAGACATTTCGCCGCCGCCCGGGAGGTGAGCTTCTCATGCCCGCACACCGGCATGGGAATCCCAAGATCCCGCGACAGCTCGAGCATCTTGCCCAAGATGAGAGGCTCGAGCAGGTCAGGTGTTGTATCTGGATACGCGGCCATAGCCAAATCAAGCACTGCACCCCTGTACGCCACAGGCGACTCCTCGGGCGCTCGTTGTCGTTGAGCGAATCGCCGATGCGCGTCGTCAGGTGGCTCGTAGGCGTCGGCCATTTCTTGAAAAACTCCATATAATGTCCTCTTCTTCTCGGCCTTAATGGAGCGAAAAAAACGAACAGATTCGTCGTCCAGAAGAGTCGGCAACACTTCCAAGGCCTCAGCATCGGTCCATCTCGCAGAACGGACCGCCGCTAAAAATCTGCAGGCGAAAGCGCTCCAGTCGCCCCCAATGGCGAATTCCTTGACCGTGGTGAGATGGCGACTCCGACTTCGCTTCACTCCGCCCTCCGCCGATGGTTCCTCCGGAGGCAAATTCAAAATGGCGTCGAATCGCGGCGTGGTCAAGATGGCGGATTCCCGCCGCGGCACGCGCAAGATGGCGGCCTCCTGCCGCGTGGCCCATGGCGCCGGGAGTGAAGAACCCGTGGCGGCCTGTGGAGCACTCTCCGCTCTCTCCGTCGCCGTGCTTGGGGTGACGAGATGACACAATTGGCCCAGGGCGTCCTTGAGAGTCTCCAGTTGCTCAGCCACCTGCAGCCATCGCCGATCAGCGTCTGATGGTGTCGGCGGCCCTGACACTGTGGCTACATCTTCCACTCCCGTCCCCGCACTCGTTTCAGCAGGGCTCTCCTCCACCACCCTGGCAGGATCCATGTTTGGAGGGAAGTCTTCGTCTTCGGACGAAGAAGCCGATGCCGGCGCTGGAACATTTTTCTTTCTCACTTGTTTCGACATGCCGTTGCACTTCCGACACCAATGTAATAAAGGACTCGACCACGATGTCTGGCTTGGTGTCCTTTATTCGGTTCTTCTCTCTTAACCCGCACGGCTGTCCTTCTATAAGACTCTATACTGACACTGATACTGCTCTCCTGCAGTTTCTCCCCTCGTCGTTCTCTCAGCCTCTCTCTCCTCTCGTCGCTCACGTAGCCTCTCCCTCACACACAGCCTCGCCGGCTGTGTTCCCCGCAGCTCCTCGTCCGCCTTCTCTCCAGCCGCCCCACCGCTGTCTTCTCTCGCAGCTCCGCTGGCTGCTCCCTTAGCTGGCCACCGCTGGCCGCCGCTGCCACCCCTTGGCTTTGCCCACGTGGCCTTACTCTGGTCCAGTCCCACTCGTTCTCCCTTCCTCTTCCGGTCTCCTCCCTTAAGAACCTTAACCTTTCCTCCCACGTCACCTAACTCCACCTCTCCGTGACGTCACATCCGGGAGGTCGCCCGCGCCCGCATTACAATAGTAATGATGATAGGTAAAGATATTGAAAGTGAAGGGGAGATTGTGAATGTGTTTATTGTGTAAGCCTGTGAGAGACGCTTGCCATTGTTGCTCGCTCATGGCCAAAGTCATGCAGGGATCTGTTTAATTTGCTGCATTCCTTCACATTGAGTTACTTAAGGTCACGCAGAACATCTTATGTTTCAATGTAGTGTCGTTGTGCAGCATTTTGGAATTAGTTCTTCAATTTCGTCTGAGATCTGTCATATCAGTTTATCTACTCTAATATCTTCAGCAATACCTTCTGTAATGTCTGCACAGATTATCATCTGTAATATCCCCCAGGTATCGTATCATACTCTATTAGAGAAAAGTTTTGCTGGCTGGCCGGTGGACGGGCCAGCAAGTGCGCGGTAGTGATGTCACCGTGCACATCTGCGTGATGACGTCACCCGCATCCCACAGCGTTGAGCCGGATTCGCGCGCTGTGCTGACTTCACGCCTCCACCCCGGCTGTGAATCCCGCTCAAATACACGGGCAGTGCTACGACTTATTGATCGGATTACGTTTTGCATTTAAACATTTTGAATATCGGATTGGGGGGGGGGGGGTTGGCCATATTTCGGACTGTTTTAATACATTCGTGATACATTTAATACATGCGCTAAATGTAATTTTTATAACATTAATTTACGATATATAAAATATTCACGTATCCATCCGTCACGCTCTGTATCTCCCAACGGTGTGGCGCAGCATAAAATGACTGAAAGCAAAAAATGCTCCGCGGCAAGGACATTCCCAAAAATTGTTGAACTTTGGACAATAAAGCCTCCCCGAAGATGGAAGATTAGCCCAATAAAACGTGGACAGCTAGTCTCGAATAGTCTTCCAGAATATGCTGGTCCTATACAGGTGAATCGGGAACTCATCTTCTGGAAGAAGGAAGGCCCTACCAATAACACTCGGATTGTATTCTCGAAAAATATTTCTAAAGTTGAGAGTCCAACACAAACCAAGGGAGCCAAAATCTTGCGTGAGAGTGACCTTCATTTTATTCGGATAATTGTCCTATGATTTGGACGCAGAAAGTCACCCTGTGGGGCTGAAAGAGGACGCGATGATGTGATCGCGCTTAGAGCAAATCACGCAACGCGAGTGCCACCACATGCATCGGTGGGGACGTTATCGTGCGCGTGATGACATCATCTTGCGAGTCTACATGATGACGTCACGGTGCACGTCTGCTTGATCTGTGCGCGGATCCGTTTCGTGCGTCGCGCTGACGTCACACCACCGATCACCCCGGCCGCGTGTCTCACACGCATGCGCAGACAGTGCCTTTTGAATTGTTAATTTTAAAACAAAATTCAATCTGTGAAACAATGTAGCTGTACACATTTATACAGTTTCATTACCAAGCAAAAGTAATGTTACGTATAATCAAGATGATTGAGTAAAAGTAATCCCTGTAATGTCACATTTGCGGATTAATCTTAAGACTTTTCCAGGATAATTGGAAATTTGGTACCTAGGCTTGATTATAATATGTTTTGGATTAATATGGAAATCGGAAACACGTGTAAATAATTACAGATGCTAAACTGTTTTTGCTTTGACTTAGCTCACTGTAAATAAACGCTGTTTCTTTACAAACATGGTCTGCTCCGCTCATGACAACGTAACTGCCACAGCTGTCCGCAAAATAACCTCTTGTCACAGAATAAGTAATAATGCAGAAGTAAAAAGTTGTCCAACAAAACTACGAATAACTGTTTAAAAATGGCAATAAATAAAATAGCAACACCTTTTTAAACGGCTTATTCCAATGCGATGCATTGTTTGTCATGTGGTTGCATAGTTCTTGCATTTCAAAATCTACCATTGTTTTATACGTTGTGTGCGCATTAAACAAGTCGTGTTTATTTGGCATTTGAACAGCATCATCTCTGATCTGTGTAGGTGCCATTGCCCTCCTGACGGACCTTATAAACAGGCCTTCATACAAAGGCCAAGTGGCTCTGGAGAACATTCTCAATCCCACTTCTGGACTGGTGGAGAGTTTAACCATGATCTCCATCACGGCTGGTATTCGGAAAAAGGTGAGCTCTCTTATATTCGTGGGAGATATAAGTCGCTGGACTTGTTTCAGTTTAGTTTTATGCATTACAGTGTATGTTGTGTATATTATTAACCATGTTTTTAGATGTTTTTTTATTAACACAAAGCTTTATTAAACAGTTATGTGAACGGTAAAATTTTAAAGCTAGAATGTTTTTTTTGCCAGAAGTTGTAAGATGCAGTTACTGTATTTTAAAAGTGGTCTCTGTGCAGTGAGTTCGCAACGAGGGGATTATGATGGAATTGAGTTTGTGCGAACTCGACGATGGAAGTGAATTCCCATGTGAAGCAGAGTAAGGAAGAAGCAGAGAGAGAGAGAAGTGTTTGACGTGCAGTATGGTGGTTCAATGCGGTATGTGTGATAGACCAATTCATCAACTTGAGGACACTCAATCAGCCAAGTTCGTGGGCACAGTAATCAAGGTCTGATAGAAGAGTGATAAAGAGATGACTGACCACTGGTGAGAAAGTGACCGAAGTGAATTAGTGAGTGCTGGATCATCAACCTGATGGCTTTACATATACGTCTATAAATTGCAGCGATATAGGAACTGGATGCTCCACAGCAGTTTCATGACTTTGTCCAAATGTGTGCTTTGTAGAGTAGTGATAAATAGTTGGAGTTCAAGAATGCTTTTAGGCATGGACTGTAAACCAAGCTGGATGCCTCCTGAGCCAAATTAATGACGCAGCCATTCCATGACAGTTCAGATTAGATCTTGTGCAGAGAAAATGAATGATAATCAAATCATTGACTATGATGGCAGGAAATGGAATTGCCAATCTTATGTGATATTGTTAATTATGGGGGTTTTACAACTGTTTAGTTTTTTGCTGTTGTGCTGCATGGCTGTGATGTGTTTTTGGTTTGCACCGCGTGTTCAGAGTGATGTCCGACATTTGAATCCACATGCTGAGAGCTTCTTCAGGAACTCCATTGAGCATCTCATGTTTTCATTCTCTTAGCACTGCTGGCTGCTGCTAGGGTTTGGTGCAGGCTAACCAGTGTTGTTTTACTTGCTTCATCACTTCTGTATACAAGCGTACTAGCACTCTGTAATATTACGCTAAACAAGACAGGTTCCCGAACCTGCTTGTTGTACTGCTTTGTGTCTTTGTAGTGTCCAAGTGTATCTATGTGTCTGTGTCTTTATGTGCGAGTGTGTGGGTGTTCCTGGGTATCTATGTCTAGCGTAGTGGTGATCAGTGGTGTAGTGGTTAGTGCACTGTGCTTCTAAACTGACGACATAAGTTTGATTCCCGTTCCACGACCATCGGTGACAAATATCTGAACCGGTCCTGGGCCTCCCTTTTGTCGAATCAGCCTTTAATGAGTACCTGATGCAGTGTGTAGCCATCAGCATAGGGGAGACAAAGGCGGTTGGGCGTGGTGCTGGCTACTCACCCCGTCGTGTGCTGTGCCAGCCTTCATGGCTGCTCTCTAACAGCATTTGCCCCAACAGTATGTTAAAAGTTATACGGGGGGTCTTTATTCCCCGTATAGCTGATAAATAATGGTTACCAGTTTGCAGCACAGAGAGAAATGTCAAGCAATGCACTCAGGCATTGTCGCACAACTATCACAGGGCACTCAGTGTGTGGCACTTACAATCAGGTATGTATTTTTTTTTCTTTTGTGAGAAACGAGTGGAGCTGCCACAATGTAATGGTTCACACGCTGGACTTGCAAATGCGATGCACGGATTTCTCTGGGTGAGAGTGAGAAGATGACTCGTCGCTGCTTTGCCCCCAGACGCTGCAGCCGGGAGCCAAGCTGGATGAAGAGGCGCTGCAGGAAATCCTCCCCGAGGTGAGGTGGCTCCCAGGGCTCCCTCGGCTCCAGCGCGGCACCGCGCACGGCGCTCGGGGTGCCACGTGGTGCACGGGGGGCGTCGTAACGAGCGCGTTGCCCGGCCTGTCGCTCGTAGAGCGACGCGACACCACGCTCGCTGCAGCGCTGCGCTCCACGCGTCCACGCCGCGCCCCACGCGTCCACGCTGCGCTTCTTGCACGGCAGTCGTGCGTCTTTACACCCGGACGTGGTCAGTGGGATCCCACGCTCCTTGTATTGACAAACACAGTTGTGGAGCTAAACATCGACAAATAAAATAATGAAACATTATTGGAGCTGTATTGTGGGAGGAGAGGGCAGTGAAGAAGTATTATCGCGCTATAAATACTCCCATGTCTATTCTCCTTACTTTCATGAACCCACAATGACCAGTGTGGTAAAGTATGGTGAAATGACCCCTCCAACCTGCACGGCGTGAGGAAGCCCTCATAGAGCAGTGGATTGACGACACGGCCTACACACGTCCATGTGCACACTGCCAGCTACAATTCTCAGATGACGAATTTTCTTTACGACAACAAAACGCGACCGCGATGCAACACGCCGAGACATCCCAGTAACGTGCTACAGAACGTCGGCGGTAATCCATTGTGACGTCACGGCACCACACGGCAGGGGGAGGGGGGAGGGGGGAGGGGGGAGGGGAAGAGGCCCCCTGCCCCAGCCAAGTGGGGAGCTCGCGTTAGGGGGGAGAGGAAGATTCACATGGGGAGGGGACATGGAGAGGGAGGAATCAGCAGCATGCTGAGGAGAAGCCAGGGAGAGGGGGGAGGGGGGACAGTGAACCCCCTAATGAACGAGTTGACCCACACGCGGCTGGTGGGCTTAGCAGGCGGCCTTCCACCACTCCTCATTCCGCTGCAGCTTGACCACCGAGGGTCTCTGCCCCTCTTTTTCCCGTTCCGACCTCCCCACCTCCTCGTCCGCCCCCCTCATCGTAAACTCTGGTGGAAGGGAGACCACGTGACTTCGAGCTCCCACTGCCTCCCTTGAATCTTGTGGCTCAAGTGCTCCATGCCCGCCTGTGTCAAGGGGTGTTGTGCCAGGGGGGTGTCGTGTCAGGGGGTGTCGTGCCAGGGGGTGTCGTGCCAGGGGGGTGTTGTGTCAGGGGGGTGTCGTGCCAGGGGGGTGTCATGTCAGGGGGGTGTCGTGCCAGGGGGGTGTCGTGCCAGGGGGGTGTCGTGTCAGGGGGGTGTCGTGCCAGGGGGGTGTTGTGCCAGGGGGGTGTCGTGTCAGGGGGTGTCGTGCCAGGGGGTGTCGTGCCAGGGGGTTGTTGTGTCAGGGGGGTGTCGTGCCAGGGGGGTGTCGTGCCAGGGGGGTGTCGTGCCAGGGGTGTGTCATGTCAGGGGGGTGTCGTGCCAGGGGGTGTCGTGCCAGGGGGGGTGTCGTGTCAGGGGGGTGTCGTGCCAGGGGGGTGTCGTGCCAGGGGGGTGTCGTGTCAGGGGGGTGTCGTGCCAGGGGGTGTCGTGCCAGGGGGGTGTCGTGCCAGGGGGGTGTCGTGCCAGGGGGGTGTCGTGTCAGGGGGTGTCGTGTCAGGGGGGTGTCGTGCCAGGGGGGTGTCGTGTCAGGGGGTGTCGTGCCAGGGGGGTGTCGTGCCAGGGGGGTGTCGTGTCAGGGGGTGTCGTGTCAGGGGGGTGTCGTGCCAGGGGGGTGTCGTGTCAGGGGTTGTTGTGTCAGGGGTTGTTGTGTCAGGGGGGTGTCATGACAGGGGGGTGTCGTGTCAGGGGGGTGTCGTGCCAGGGGGGTGTCTTTTGTCAGGGGGGTGTCGTGCCAGGGGGGTGTCGTGACAGGGGGGTGTCGTGCCAGGGGGGTGTCGTGTCAGGGGGTGTCGTGCCAGGGGGTGTCGTGCCAGGGGGGTGTCGTGTCAGGGGGGTGTCGTGTCAGGGGGGTGTCGTGTCAGGGGGGTGTCGTGTCAGGGGGGTGTCGTGTCAGGGGGGTGTCGTGTCAGGGGGTGTCGTGCCAGGGGGGTGTCGTGTTAGGGGGTGTCGTGTCAGGGGGGTGTTGTGTCAGGGGGGTGTCGTGCCAGGGGGGTGTCGTGTTAGGGGGTGTCGTGTCAGGGGGGTGTCGTCACAGGGGGGTGTCGTGCCAGGGGGGTGTTGTGCCAGGGGGGTGTTGTGCCAGGGGGGTGTTGTGTCAGGGGGGTGTTGTGCCAGGGTGGTGTTGTGCCAGGGTGGTGTTGTGCCAGGGGGGTATTGTGTCAGGGGGGTGTTGTGCCAGGGGGGTGTTGTGCCAGGGGGGTGTTGTGCCAGGGGGGTGTTGTGCCAGGGGGGTGTTGTGCCAGGGGGGTGTTGTGCCAGGGGGGTGTTGTGTCAGGGGGTGTTGTGTCACCGTTTCCCTGAAGGGGGTTCGTGCTCCTTCCACTTGCCCAGTCGTCTTCCTGGCTGTGATGCTAAAGGGCTGGAGTAGGGCGTGCTGCTGTCTCGTCACGGTAGCGAGTTTCAGGCCCCACAGAGTCTCTTCGACCGACGGGGAGAGGTTAGTGCCACGTGTCATTAAACAGCACCAGAATATCGTGATGGAGGTTTACAACGTCCGGACATAGCCACAAAGCATGGAGGTAGTCAGATGGTGATTTTAACGGAGCTCTTGAGGATGAATGATGCGGGAGCCCTGTCAATGAGCACGGCTCGGCACACGCAGTGGGACACGGGCAGTGACGTTGACGATGGTCATCACGAGAGTGACGTGAAGACGAGTGCAGCAGGCGTCGTGCGTGCATCTCTACCCCTCCACTCTGTCTCCCTGTCTCTCGCTGTGAGCGCAGCTGAAAAAGAAGCTGAAGGTGGAGACTGAGAAACGAGGTGAGTCGTCTGTGTGGTGTCACTTACACTCAGCGTGTGTCACTTACACTCGGTGTGTGTGTCACTTACACTCAGCGTGTGTCACACTCAGCGTGTGTGTCACTTACACTCAGCGTGTGTCACTTACACTCAGCGTGTGTGTCACTTACACTCAGCGTGTGTGTCACTTACACTCAGCATGTGTGTCACTTACACTCAGCGTGTGTGTCACTTACACTAAGCGTGTGTGTCACTTACACTCTGTGTGTGTCACTTACACTCAGCGTTTGTGTCACTTACACTCAGCGTGTGTCACTTACACTCAGCGTGTGTCACTTACACTCAGCGTGTATCACTTACACTCAGCGTGTGTCACTTACACTCAGTGTGTGTCATTTACACTCACCGTGTGTGTCACTTACACTCAGCGTGTGTCACTTACACTCAGCGTGTGTGTCACTTACACTCAGCGTGTGTCACTTACACTCAGCGTGTGTCACTTACACTCAGTGTGTGTCACTTACACTCAGCGTGTGTCACGTACACTCAGCGTGTGTCACTTACAATCAGCGCGTGTGTCACTTACACTCCGCGTGTGTCACTTACACTCAGCGTGTGTCACTTACACTCAGTGTGTGTCACTTACACTCGGTGTGTGTCACTTACACTCAGTGTGTGTCACACTCAGCGTGTATCACTTACACTCAGCGTGTGTCACTTAAACTCAGCGTGTGTCACACTCAGCGTGTATCACTTACACTCAGCGTGTGTCACTTACACTCGGCGTGTGTCACACTCAGCGTGTATCACTTACACTCAGCGTGTGTCACTTACACTCAGTGTGTGTCATTTACACTCAGCGTGTGTGTCACTTACACTGTGTGTGTCACTTACACTCAGCGCGTGTGTCACTTACACTCAGTGTGTGTCACTTACACTCAGCGTGTGTCACACTCAGCATGCGTGTTACTTAAACTCAGGTAATGTCACACAACTATCACATAGCACTTGGTGTGTGTCACAATCAGGCACTGTCATGCAACTAGTAAATGTCTCACAGTGAGTGTGCCTTTGAAGTCCGTAAGAGTGAGTGCTTCACAGTGAGTGTGATAGTGATCATAGTGTCACACGTTGAGTGTTTTACAGAGAGTGTGAGTGAGTGACAATGTCTCGCAGAAAGTGATTGTCAGTGAGTGAGTGTGAGAGTGCCAGTGAGTGAGTGGCACTGTCCCGTCTCACCCAGACTACACGCTGGAGTGGGGAGACATCGCCGTCCACCCCACGCGTCGCTCCGTGCAGAAGTGGCCCAAGGCCAGAGACGGCCGAATCTACGTCCCCTACAAAGTGTCCCTCGCCTTCTGTGAGTGGCCTCGCCTCCTCCTCCCCCTACTCATTCCTTGTTACACCTGTACCTTGTTACACCTGTACCTTGTTACACCTGTGCCTTGTCCATCCTGTGCCTTGTTCATCTTGTGCCTTGTTACACCTGTACCTTGTTCATCCTGTGACTGGAAGGTGACCAGATCACATCAACAGAGTGGCTCTTGTCTAGAATTAAGTGCAGAACCCAATGTAAATCAGGGTGTAAATTATTCAGAGCTGTGCTCTGTGTGGATTGATAATCACGTGACTGGGCGCAGAGGTGGCTGTAGCAAGCTGGTGGTGAGCGGAGAGTCAGGTACAGGGTTTGACCCTGAAGAAGAAACCCGAACTCGATGTCTTAGTCTCTGTAAGATGTCGCCTGGTTACTTGAATCGGCGTGAGAATCAAGCCACATCCACAAGTGCTGAATGATTGACGCTCCATTGAAATAGCTGCAGCAAAATGAGGATGTTGATTGACATTTCACTAATGGTTATCCTAAGGGAGAAATATGGAACCAGAACTCATGATTGAAATAGAATCTGAAGATTATTGGGGGAATTCTCTGCAGCTTTCTTTGTAAATACATCCACATATCCCAGGAACCAGACCGACTCTCAGATGAAGAGGACACACAAATATAAGTGTCTATATACACACTGCATCATCACACACAGTGGCCTATAAACCAGGCCTCGAGTCATTGACATACATTGGTCGTGTCTCATCATACACGCATAGCACCATGCGTGTAGGAGTCAGTGATGTGCAGCGTGTACCCAGCGTGCATGACTGTGATGGGAATGCCGCATTGGGGCCAATGGAGCAGAGGAAGCGGTGCACATGACACGGAGAGCGCAGAGCGGCGCTAGGGAGGCTCGCGTCGCCACCGCGGATCGTGGAGATTCCTCGCGTCGCCAGGCGGGGGACCGCGGGGCAAAGATTTCACTCACGCAGGGACTCCGCTCCGGGCTTTATCTGAAGCAGTGCCACTCACTCAACACAGCTTGATTAGACATTAGAAGGAATGGATACCATTTAGAATGGACAGATAACGATGTTTGTTCTTTATCTGCTGTCAAATACATGTTGTGGGGAACCAGCAAATGAGTGTTAAGTCAATAAGCCACACGTGATGCTATCCAGTCCAAGGCAGCGGTAACCATGACGCTACTCTAGAACAATGAGGAGATTGCAGCACCTGACCAGCAGTGTCCACGAAAGAGAAGCAGCTCTCGGTGAACGGGAAGTTACTCTGTCAACTCAAATAAAGCGACGCCGTGGTTTGAATGAGCAACGCCTCCTGCTGCCGAGTGGAAGTGCAGGGAGAGGCGGCGGAGCGGCCGCCGGGGCCTCTCCACGGGAGCCCAGCGCTACCGCCACTCACGCTCCACTCCATACCGTGCCACCTGCTGTGCCCCTCGCTCCACCCCACACCGTACCACCCACTGTGCCCTTCGCTGCACCCCACGCCGTGTCACCCACTGTGCCCCACGCTCCACCCCACACCGTGCCACCCACTGTGCCCCACGCTCCACCCCACGCTGTGCCCCACGCCGTTGGCTGCGCTTGGCACTTGGCACTCGCTGTGCGCTCTTCTCACTCACGCCGGCCCCGCAGCTCACGCCCGGCGTGTGACCTGCAGATGACGGCGATGTCAAGAAGATCGAGGAGGCGGCGCTGGAGTTTGAGAAGAAAACAAGCGTCCGGTTCATCCCTCGCTCCGACGAGACCGACTACATCTACATCCACGCGTGGGAGGGGTGAGACACGGAGACACGGATACGGCAGAGACACAGCTACAGCAGAGACCCTACAGAAACATGGCCAAGACAGAGACACAGACACTACAGACATGGCTACTACAGAGACACGGCCACTACAGGGACACGGCCACTACAGAGACACAGACACTATGGACATGGTTACTACAGGGAATGGCCACTACAGAGACACGGACACTATAGACATGGTTACTACAGGGCATGGCCACTACAGAGACACGGACACTATGAACATGGCTACTACAGAGACACGGCCACTACAGAGACACGGACACTATGAACATGGCTACTACAGAGACACAGCCACTACAGAGACACGGACACTACAGTGACACGGCCACTACAGAGACGCGGACACTATAGACATGGCTACTACAGATACACGGACTGGTTGTGTTCAGGCTGGGTTGTCTGTACGTGATGAGTGGTGAGTGAATGGGGCTCTGTGCTCAGGCTGAGGTTGTCTCTGTGTGATGAGTGGTGAGTGAATGGGGCTCTGTGCTCAGGCTGGGGTTGTCTCTGTGTGATGAGTGGTGAGTGAATGGGGCTCTGTGCTCAGGCTGGGGTTGTCTCTGTGTGATGAGTGGTGAGTGAATGGGGCTCTGTGCTCAGGCTGGGGTTGTCTCTGTGTAATGAGTGGTGAGTGAATGGGGCTCTGTGCTCAGACTGGGGTTGTCTCTGTGTGATGAGTGGTGAGTGAATGGGACTCCGTGCTCAGGCTGGGGTTGTCTCTGTGTGATGAGTGGTGAGTGAATGGGGCTCTGTGCTCAGGCTGGGGTTGTCTCTGTGTGATGAGTGGTGAGTGAATGGGGCTCTGTGCTCAGGCTGGGGTTGTCTCTGTGTGGTGAGTGGTGAGTGAATGGGGCTCTGTGCTCAGGCTGGGGTTGTCTCTGTGTGATGAGTGGTGAGTGAATGGGGCTCCGTGCTCAGGCTGGGGTTGTCTGTGTGTGATGAGTTGTGAGTGAATGGGGCTCTGTGCTCACACTGAGGTTGTTTATACAGGAATTGGTCGTTCCTGGGCCATCAGGGCGGGGACCAGGCGATGTCCCTGGAGCCCGGCAAGGTGACCAAGGGCGTCGTTCTGCACGAGTTCATGCACGCGCTCGGCTTCCACCACGAGCACTGCCGCAGCGACCGTGACGACCACGTCTTGGTGCTGAGTGAAAACGTCAAGCCCGGTGTGTGCATCAGTCAGAAATAGAGAGAGGACAAAGCTGTGTGTTTACGTAACTTCCTACAGTATATTCACAAAACATGCACGTGGGTTCTTGAAAAGCGTGCACTGGATATCTCCTTTTCAGAATGGAAGGATGCAATTGAGAAAAAGACGTCGCATGAGCACAATCTAACAACCCCGTACGACTACAGCTCCATCACTCACTATGGCATGTAAGTGGTGCAGGGATTGTGAGTGTGATGCTATTGTGTTGCCACTCCTCTCTGGTAAGTGCTAGCATCTTATAAGAATATCTTCTCATAAATGACACGTTTGTGCTTTTTACTTTGGTGATTCCACCACGTATATGACTGACATTGATAAATGCAGGTAAGTGCTGTTGAATTTCTAGACCTGGCAAATAAACGATGCATCACCCACCTTTGCTGTTTCCAGTTGGGTAATTTACTACTTTGTGGTCACGCATTGCAATTCCTGCGAGTGCAGGGTTTTTAAACCCAAGGTCCCGCAACTCATTTGTTACACGTTCCAATCTACTTCCCATCATATACAAACTTGATTTGAAGCTTTCGTGACTGCAGGATTCCATACTCTTTGGTTCTTTCGGTAAATTCACGTAGGTAGAAAAAAAAAATCACGACGTTTCGATCGCAACATATTCTGGACGCACCTGATCATTGCTAAACATGTCATATGTGATGTAGACAGCGCCGATTCAAATTAAGACAGGGAATTGGTGAATGTACGTGCATACGTGTGTGTGTGTGTGTACGTGTGCAACCCACCTGACTCAAAATACATTTCATAAATGCTTTTTAACACTACCAGAATGGAGAGACTTAGTGTTTATTAAATTGCTTGTCAATATCTATATAATTATTTTGTCATTCACCATCAGGGTTTATTTTATTCAGAACTCAGTGAATTCAAGCTGGGTGTTTTTAGTGTAAGCAACCGGTGTAACAGTGGCCTGCCAAAGTGCATAAGCAGTGAAGTCAAACGATGCAACCTTTACGCAGCACCGTCTCTATGCTGTTTAGATTCATGCTCGACTACGGAGCAATGCCGTTATTGAGGAGCTATGTAGAATGAGTGTTGAGGAGCCACACAGAATGGACGGGATGGGTTTTATTAGGGTTGAAAGGGGAGGGGTGACTCACTATTATCACTGCAGTCCCCCCCCCCCCCTCATCTAACGTGGTCACAAGGGCAATGTAGGGGCTTTTACAATTGAAGTATGGGAATTGACGGCAGGAACTTCTTGACGGGTAACACACTTTTATTAAATCTTTACGTGTCACAATACAACGTGTGGTCTTCCTTCTTCCGACGACACACTCCACTAATCTCGTGTAAACTCTAGGCCTCTGGCTACACCCGATACACTTGACTTGCCTCTGGCTACACACACTACACTCGACTCGTGTAAGCCCTATGCCTCTGGCTACACAATACACTCGACTCGTGTAAACCCTATGCCCTGGCTACACACAATACATTCGGCTCGTGTAGACCTATGGCTACACACACTACACTCGCCTCTGGGCTACACAGAGTCCCGGTCCCCTTAGGACAGCGGGGCTAGGTACCGCAGGGCTCTAGGTCTTCATCCCCGTCTTCATTCTTCGCTGGTTACACACTGCCCTTACGCCTGTGTGCATCCCCTTTTATAGCCCCTGCTCACGAGAGACGGAGCTGATGCGGCGTCGACGTGAGCGTCGTTCCTTAATGAACCAATCACGACGCACTCTCTCTACGATCCGCTTTCCCCAGCGCATGTTAACATTACTCCACCAATCACACTGCGCTGCCACCTGATCACTCCCTCTCAGCGCGTCACCGGCCCACAGCCAATCGGTACCCCGTAACCCACGACCCCGCGCTGACCCTTGATCCTCCACCGTCACCACCTACACAGCCAATCATCACGCACTGTGCATACGATCCCTAATCCCAGCGCGTATCACCTCTACATCACCCCCTCCCACATAGCTTGCAGCCGGCCCGGCTGTTAACCTACAACACAACATAACGCAACGCAGTAATAAAGAACTCCACATCCCAGTGTGCCCCGTAACACAACAACAACAACATAACACAACCTTAAATACGAAGCAATATACAGCCCGACGAACAACACAATAAAAGCGAACACCGTAAAACGAACGCGCCAAGTGTCACTGTGACCCACGCAGTGCCGAGGCGCTCCGGCTGCCTCGACTCCGCACGTGGTAGGTTACACAAAGTAGCGCGACCTAGCGCGAGTCCGTCTGGCCGGTCCGTCGTATGGAACGGGACGTTGGCGACCGTCCGGTGTCTCCGGCAGCTCTAGACGGCACGGATCGGGCCTGGAAGGACCGGCCCCGCCGTGAAGATCCGGCCGCCGGTGGTCGGCAGCAGTCAGTTCCGAGACACCTGGGAGCGGATCAGGCGGAGACATGTGAGGAGCAGGCAAGGACAATTCCCCCTCAGGGTCGTCGGTCACGTCACATGCTCGGCCCTCACGACACAAGGGGAGGCCATACGGAGGCGAGAACGGTTTCAGTCGGGAGGGGTGGACGTACCAACGGCGTTTCCCCCATTTTATCTGAACGCACTGGGGGCGTGCAACCCGCACGACCTCCACGGGTCCCCGCCACGGCTTCAACAATTTAGGCGACGTGGCCAAAGGTGCCTGAGGGCAATGCAGCCAGGCCTTGTCACCTGGTTCCCAATTGTGCACGGACACCTTCCGTGCCCGCAACCGCTCGTTCGCAATTTGGCGAGCCCGCGAATTAAGCCGTGCGGCCTCCCTTGCCTCTGTCAGTTTATGAATATTAAATTTAATATGCTCTGCCAATTTAGAATTAGTTCGTGGTGCGGGCAGACCCAGCTGCGTTTCCATGGGCGGGTCGGCTTCCCGACCGTACATTAGATAAAACGGGGAAAACCCCGTAGCTGCATGGGGGGCCATTCTATACGCGGCAAGGACCCCAGGGACCTGCAGGTCCCAATCAACATGCGACTCACACACCTGCTGGCACAGCATAGAGGTCAATGTCCTGTTAAGCCTCTCCACCATCCCGTCCATCTGCGGGTGGTACGGGGAGGTACGCACCTTTTTGGTACCCAACAGGTCGCACACCTCTTGCAGTAATTTACTCGAAAAATTTTTCCCTTGGTCAGTCAGCAAGCGTTCGGGAGCCCCCTTGTCCAGGACGTAGCCCTGGACAAAGGCGTCCGTCACAGCCGCTGCCGACTGGTTGGCGAGTGGCCACGCCATAGGCCACCGGGTAAAATATTCGACCCCCACCAACAGGTACTTATTACCCCTAGGCGTGACCGGAAAGGGCCCCAGAATATCGAGTGCAACGAGCTCGTTAGTGCGCGAGACCTGAATAGATTGCAGCGGTGGATTAGCTGCCACGGGCGGTGGTTTCCGTCTGGCGCACTCAACACAACCCTTCAGAATATTCACCACGTCACCCCCCATTCCCGGCCAATAATAGTCACGCTGAAGCAGGGCAAGCGTTTTGTTAACTCCCAAATGCAAGAGGCGTTCGTGTGCGGCCAAGACAACCTTCCCCCTCACAGCAGAAGGCACCACAATCGCATGCCGCCGGGACAAACTGTCCCATCTCATCAACAGGCCCTGCTTAAGCTCGTAGGAGCCAGTTCGGTCGTGGCTACCCTCGGAACCCTCCGTCTTTCGGCGCAATGCCAGCAGGGAGCTGTCCGCCATTTGGAGACGGCCCCACTCAATCAACGACAGTGAGAGCAGCGAGTCCTGACCCCCTGGGGTAGCGGGACCATCCCCAATTGGTGTGCTCGCGGTCGCAACCAACGCCTCCCTACCTTCCGTAACCGGAGGTTTACAGCGCGCCGATCCCGATAAGCACGCACATTTGTGACAAGGCAACAACCGCGACAGGGCATCGGCATTCGTGTGTCGCAACCCTTTACGGTACGTAGTCGTGAACTGATAGTCCTGGAGGACTTCCAACCACCGCGACAATTGGCCCGAGGGCTGGGCAACCCGTAATGAATACTGGAGCGCCGCATGGTCCGTCCGGACCGTGAAATGACGACCATAGAGATATGGCCTGAATTGTTGTACAAAAAAAACAATGGCAAGTAGTTCACGACGGGTGACGCAGTAGCGCTGCTCTGCCGGCGACAACACCCTGCTACCATAGGCGACCACCCGTTCGACCCCTCCAACGACTTGGGACAGCACTCCCCCAATGCCCGTGTTGCTAGCATCCGTGTCTAGCAAGAAGGGACTCTCAAAGTCCGGATAGCGCAAGGGTGGGGCCCTTACCAAGGCGTCCCGAAGGGAGCAGAATGCAGCCTCCTCCTCCGGTCCCCACCGGAACTTCACTCCTTTTGCCGTTAAAGCGTGCAAGGGCTTTGCAATGGTGGCGAAGTGCTCAACGAATCGGCGATAATACGAAGCAAAACCGATGAAACTGCGCACGTCTGACACTGACGTGGGCGTCGGCCACGAACTGACACAGTCCGTCTTCGCAGGATCGGTAGAAATCCCCGAAGAGTCGACAATGTGACCCAAGTACCTCACGGATTTACGAAAAAGATGGCATTTGGCCGGTTTAAACTTTAATTTAGCCGATCGCATTCGCAAGAACACCCCTCTCAATCGCTGGAGGTGTTCTTCGAACGTTTTACCGAAAACAATGACATCGTCAAGGTAAATGAGGCACGTCTCCCACTGCAAGCCCGACAAAACCAATTCCATAAGACGCTGAAACGTCGCAGGAGAGGAGTGAAGTCCCATGGGTAACCGGTTAAACTGAAACAGGCCCCCTGGAGTCCGGAATGCAGTCTTAGGCTTAGACTCCTCGTCGAGTGGCAACTGCCAAAATCCGGACAATAAATCAAGAGTCGAAAAGTATCGCGCACCGGACAATGCGTCGAGAGACTCGTCCATCCTGGGGAGCGGATACGCGTCGGCCACCGAGATCTTATTCAGGCGGCGGAAATCGACGCAAAATCGCAGGGACCCGTCCTGCTTTTTAACGAGCACAATAGGTGCTCCCCAAGGACTGGAAGAAGGCGAAATAATGTCGGCTTCCAGCATATCATTAACTGCCGACTGAACATGTTCCTTCTCAGCAGGACTCAGTCGGAAGGGATTTTGCCTGACCGGTGCCGCATCGCCCGTTTCAATGTGGTGGCGTAGCAGGTCCGTGCATCCGATATCATACTTATGTTTACTGAAGACATCCGAAAATTCAATCAGCAACCCGCGCAACGCACCCAACTGTACCGCTGACAAATCGTCAGAGTCCGCGCACAGCATATCAATCCAATCTAGGTCCTCCTTCGATGGTACGCTATTCGTGGGGCTCGGATCAGCCTGCGCAACCAACCTCTCCTCCGCATGGACCCGTGCCGCGTGAGCCAGCACGGTGCCCTGCTGAATGACGGCCGGCCGCGCCCCAGCGTTTAAAACCATGACAAACGGATCCCTGTCTGCCCCAACCAAAGTGTGAGCCACCGATAAATCGAGACCTCCAACAGCCCTATTAGAAGGACCCAAAAGCATGGCCTGTTCCGAGGCATCCTTCCCCGCATGGCTTCCGTAACCGGAGGGGAATCAACATTTGTGAACCCGGGGGCACGTGCACAGTCTGTGTTGCTAACGCCTGAATGGTAGCGCACGCCGTCCGAATTACATTAGGGCTCGTCAAAAATGAAATACGGCGACCCGATGGTAGTTCAATGCAACGCTGATCAATGAGAATTTTGATGGGCATTTTCGCCAAAAAATCAGTGCCCAATAGGCAAGGAACCGCCAGGGAAGATGAAACGAAAACGGGTCCCGACAATTTGATATCACCAATGCAAATGGACGCCCTAATCTGACCGATAATGCCCAACGATCCCCCGTTAGCGGCGTAAAATGGCACATCCACCAGAAGAAGCGGACGACATTGTACCGGGAGAATATTATAAATGAGATCCGAAATAATAGTCGCCGATGCCCCCGTGTCCACTAACACCCTGACCTCGACCCCATCAATCGATCCGGTAACGACGGATGAACCCGCTGAGGCAGCCACTATTCTGTGCCCCAATTCCGACCATTTAATGTCTCCCCGGTCCCGGCCGAACCCCCCTCTCCGAACCGAATCCCCGAACTCTACTCGGCTCTCCCTCGTCGCAACGCGACGACCCATACGTGTCGAGTATGCGGGCCAAGCATGTGAGGTGCCGCGACTTGCCGGGGTTTGCAGTGATGACTTGGGGCCTTGGTCGTCGTCCAGCCGAGGTCCCATGGCGCGCTGACGTGGGGCGCGGCAACCGGAGGCCACGTGGCCACGAAGGCCGCAGTTATAGCAGGTGATGACAGTAGTCGGAGATCTCGGTTGCTCCAGCTTGCGGGCCGCTCGCAGAGGCGAACGACCCCCCGACCTCCAGTCCCCCGCTCGTCCCGCGATGAACGCGTCCTCTCGTGGGCTGACGACTTGGGGCACGGTGTCAACTGGACCCGGAGTTGAGGCCACGGCAGCGTTGCAGACGACCCCCTGCTTTCGTTGAAGGACCTCGTGCGCTTGCATGCTCGTGGCGACCCGTAATGAAGAAATATCGGTCTCGTCGGCCGTGTTGATGGGGACCCCCAGGTCCTGCGCCAACTTGAGCAGCTGCTCCAAAACCATCGCATCTTGGCCCTCCTCGTCCATACGAGGGAACGCGGCGTCAGCGAGAGCGAGCAACGCCGTGCGGTAGGCGAGCACGGTCTCCGTGTCCGCCTTCCGTCTTGCGTAGAAATGATGGCGGCACGCCGAGGGAGGACCGTAGACTTTGGCCATGAGAGCCAGCGCATCCTTGAGCGTGGAGCGGTCCGACCTGCGTGCGGACGTGAAGGCCGCGAGCGCGTTGTCGTCCAGCATGGCAGGCAGTGCCCGCAGTGCCGTAGCGTCGGACCAGGCGGACATCTCTTGATGCGCCAAAAATCTGCGCTGAAATTGGCTCCAATCCCCGCCTTCCGCCTTGAATGCTGACAACGTGGGAAGGCGCTGCTGAAAGATAAAGTCGTCCTCCTCCTCGTGCTTCCTCTCTGCCCCCCCGTCGGTGTGTAAGATGGCGGCCCCATCGGCGGGTGTGTGATGGCGGTCCGCCGCGCGCGTTGGTGACGTCAGCGGGCGCGCATGGAGAACCGCTGCCACGTGGTGATGGCCGTTCCCGCCAAAAGTCGGAGCGGATGAAATGGCGGGAATCGCCAAATCGTTTTGGCGGGAAGCTGCAGGGCGACCCTGTAGCACGTCGGCCGCCGTCCCCGCTCCTCCCGACGAGCTGATCTCCGCCAAGATGGACGCGGCGGCGAGCAGCAGCTCCGCCAGACGGGAGTGTGCCTCGCGAAGCACGGTGTCAGTCCCCCGTCGCTCGTCCGGCGCCGTCGGTGGATCCTGCCCCGTGGGCAGCTCCTCTTCCTCACCCCCTGATGCCCGCTGGCCCGCGTCGTCGAGGTTGTCCCCGTGGTCAATCCCGTGGGTCCGACGGCTCCTCCTTGTATCCATGCTTGGAGGACCGTTTCACTTCTGACGCCAGTTGAAGTATGGGAATTGACGGCAGGAACTTCTTGACGGGTAACACACTTTTATTAAATCTTTACGTGTCACAATACAACGTGTGGTCTTCCTTCTTCCGACGACACACTCCACTAATCTCGTGTAAACTCTAGGCCTCTGGCTACACCCGATACACTTGACTCGTGTAGACCCTATGCCTCTGGCTACACACACTACACTCGACTCGTGTAAGCCCTATGCCTCTGGCTACACAATACACTCGACTCGTGTAAACCCTATGCCCTGGCTACACACAATACATTCGGCTCGTGTAGACCTATGGCTACACACACTACACTCGCCTCTGGGCTACACAGAGTCCCGGTCCCCTTAGGACAGCGGGGCTAGGTACCGCAGGGCTCTAGGTCTTCATCCCCGTCTTCATTCTTCGCTGGTTACACACTGCCCTTACGCCTGTGTGCATCCCCTTTTATAGCCCCTGCTCACAAGAGACGGAGCTGATGCGGCGTCGACGTGAGCGTCGTTCCTTAATGAACCAATCACGACGCACTCTCTCTACGATCCGCTTTCCCCAGCGCATGTTAACATTACTCCACCAATCACACTGCGCTGCCACCTGATCACTCCCTCTCAGCGCGTCACCGGCCCACAGCCAATCGGTACCCCGTAACCCACGACCCCGCGCTGACCCCTGATCCTCCACCGTCAGCGCGCGTCACCACCTACACAGCCAATCATCACGCACTGTGCATACGATCCCTAATCCCAGCGCGTATCACCTCTACACAATGACCACAGGGTGGCGGTGCAGCTGTGCTGCTAAGGTTCTGAGGGGCGTGGCCTGTGCATCACTGAGTTGACGCGTCCCTGGACACGCCCAGCTTCAGGACAGCAATCACGAATCTGCAGCCTCTCTGGATAAAAAATTATTCCGAGATTAGAGGGTGATGCATTGGCGGCTTAACGTAATAATGGCATTCACGTGCTTTTTACTTTCAAATTTAAACGTTAATGCTTTTGACCTACCTGTGTATAATCAGATATTATATGTGTCAAAAGAATAAATAAAAGTGTGTTCAGGCTCAAATGCACATTCGTACATCTCAGTTTGCCGCCATGAGTCTCCGGTTTAAATTCCTCGTGCTCATGTTGGCTTCACAATGAGGATGACTCCGTCTAGCAACACCCTAGAGAGTGATGGCCTGAGTCGACTTCTCACCGGGACTTAAACTCGTATTCTTCCAATTACAGGTCGAGTGCTCTGTCAACATCGCTGTCCGGCCAAAATGTGTCAACCCCACAGCAGTCACCATAAACAGCATGCGTCACTTTGAAGGCAGCCACACCCTGAGTGGTGACAGGAATGTCATGAAGCTATTGGTGTGCGACTGTCGCTCAGCATTAAAACTGCACTGATAAGAATCGGTCCATGTGCCTCAGGACCGCCGGCTCAAAAGACGAGCACATCCCGACTATGGTGCCCAGGAACAGGAGCACCATGCATCACTTTGGAGGTGGCCACACCCTGAGTGAGGGCGACGTGGAGAAGATCAAGAAGATGTTCGACCGCGAGCCTGCAACATGGAGACCCAGCAACGCAGCCCCAGCACGGACTCGCCCAGCCACGGGTGAGGGATTCATGGCTACATAGTCCACATTCAGTCGCTCGATTCAGAGTTGAAATGGTATGGCCAGGTTCAATTACCATTGTTTTTCACAGCTATATTACACTGTGCACACTCTTACAAAACACAGTGTGAGTTGTACATTGCTGGACCGGCATTAATAAATGCGCAAGCCGGTAAGATGTGTAGTTAGGAGCAGCTCGTCGCCGTGCACGTGCACAGGAGTGACCCCCTGTGTGCACGTGACCTCAGGTGCCAGCACGGCGCACAGGGATGCAGGGACATCTCTGGAGCAGTCCACAATTGAGAGCCTGGTCGGCGTCTGGAATAAGGTGATTTTACACACGTGATTTAATGCGTGTATTGTTAGCATGATGTTATTGATAAATTGTTACATCCTGCAATGTTGCCATGTATAATAAAAACAAAAACTCTGTAAACACCTAAAGAATGTTTTCAGTGTCAGGTCACTTTAAGATCAATGGAGTATGTATCTTCATAATTACATATTTAGATGAAGTACATGTAAAATACGTGCTTAACCTGAAAACCAGGATACAGAAACATTCCGCAGTGAATCCAGACTTCTCACACTCATACATGAGAATGGATATCCAGCATGGGCCGTGAGGCTGACAACAGGGCACAGGGATGTGGGATTGCATTGGCTTAGCACGGGGACTCTCTACATTGCCCAGCTATAAACTAGAAAGTTCTGCGTTTATTATTATCATCCTGCTAGTGAGATCACACACAAGAGCCAAACATGCAATTAATCTACACATACAATTGCCAAGGTTAGTACCATACATTCATCTCATGAGACTAAATGTTGGATATACTAGTCACATCCTATGCAGTGATGGAGCAGGACAGGTGAGAACAACCCTCGTGTGCAAAGTTGACGGCGAGAGAAATTGAGGAAGACTCAGAGTGGCGTAGCAGAGGTTGCAGGGTAGAGATGAGGGAGTTGTCGGGATAGGCCGGGAGGAAGCAATGAGAGAAGCACTACATGGGACTAAAGGGAGAGAGCAAGCACTGGGCTCATTGCCAGGAGTCAATAAGAGAAATGAAAAAAAATTGTGCTGTGAAACAGTATTACCCAATTGTGTTATTTGGACATGTTTGATTGTATTTTTTCATTATTCACAGTCCAATTTGAAAGATATTGGAGACAAGTTGAAAGGTATGTATTGTATGTTCTTGTGTGTTTATGCCAAACTTGGAAGATTTTGTGCTGAATAAATACATCACATGCAACACAATAACAAAAGTAATGGAAATTACTCAAGCATTTTAAATCAACCTCTGATTTTAAGTGGTGTGCTCCAACTTCACGGTAGACCATAAAGGCTTCATGGAGAGTGAGGTAATCACATGAATGTGTAAAGGAAAGTCAACATGTTCCAGGAGTTTAATATCCTTCAAATATAATACATACAATACTAAAATTGTATATAAAAAATTATGATCAACACATCCTGTGTAAGATTATCACAGCCAGTTAAAATTAAGCGCGTCCACTGTACTTCTAATATCTCATTCTCAAACTATTGATAGTTCACCCAACATTGCAATGCTGACTGGGGAGATAGAACACTCTTACCGCATGTTTGTTTTACATGAGAGCATTCTGGTGCAAAAGAGTCAATGGCACTTGACTTTACCAGATTTTCCTAAAAATACTACTTCCACTGTCTTAACAGTTACATATGCACAGCTGTAGGGAACATGCGGTACATTTCCTGTGTATGGTACTGCACCCAAGCTGCGCAGTGGAATTCACAGCCAAGTTCAGTGTGTCTGCACACCCACATTACCACTTCAGAGTTTAGTCTCTACATAAGACAGTTATTGATTACTTTAAAAAAAGTTGTGGTAATTATTTTATGAACCCTGGAGAGATGGTGGGCAGAGTTTACCCGTGACCAGAATTTAAACTCACACCTCCTGATGGTAAGAATGGCACTGGCACAACGCAACCCGGTCAGAGGATTGCCCCTAGTGCATGCACAGTATGTTCCCGGGGCGTGCATGTCACCACACATCTGATGTGCACATGTTTACACCGGCCTCTGATCCCAGTGTATGTGTGTGCGCTTGACAGACCCTCCCATTAAATGTGGGGGAGTCAAAGACAATTCCTCTTCACAAGAAGTGAGCCACTGGCCCAAGCACAGCGATGGCAATGCGTACATCCCCTACAAGGTCTCCGCCGACTTCTGTGAGTTTTGCTGTTCACTTATATCTCGTTTTATTTATTCTGTTCCTGCAGGTGCTATTCATGGTACATTATGTACTCTACATTGTATGAAACGTGTTCAATACCCTGTTTCTAATACTGCACTAGTGTTTCTTGCAAGGGAGACCTAGGTAGTCATGGATACCTATGGATAATACTATTCTCTCAGATTATAAATACAAACTCCAGCCTAAACATGGCCTTACCACCAATTCCCTGCCTCCCTGTTCTGTCAAACATTCTGCCACCAAATATCTGCAGAGGCATGCAAACTGCAGATTAGTATTCATATTCTTAGGTTTTTTCGCTAAAGTCACGTAGGTAAAACATCTAAATTAATGAAAATAAAATAAAATAAAACAAAAATCACGACGTTTCGGAGGCGTCCGAAACGTCGTGATTTTTGTTTTATTTTATTTTATTTTCATTAATTTTGATGTTTTACCTACGTGACTTTACCGAAAAAACCTAAGAATATGAATCCTTGCAGGTTAGTTTCAACGTTTTCTTGCCAATGAAAACCTCCCCATCAACCAAGACCTCAACAATGTTCCTCACCGCTGACTCAAGTCCTGATCCCCCTTCTGGGATTGCGCTGTCACCATCCTATAATCTCACCCAAAACAAAAAAAAACGCTGATGAACAGAGTTGAACAATGCAGACGTCCAGAATAAACACAATGTTTAAGGCCGACATCGCATTTCCTAGATTTAACATTCATTAAAGATGCTGGTGTAACAATCAACCGCATCAGAAGATAAACAGGCCGATGCACACATCTCCTTCAGAAATGTCAAATAAAAGACGGCGACAATGTGACTGTGGCCATGCAACCCAAACTATGGACCATATGGAAAACCTCTCTAGTCTACACTTCGTCAACGGAGGAGGAATAACAAAACTAAACAACTTAAATCCTGAAGCCCTCTCGTAGCTAGCATACCTTGACATTGCCATTTAGCTTCTGAACATATTGCCATACGAAAGAGTATAATAGAATGGAAGTGTGTGAAGTTCAGCAAGTCTCTCTAGTTTAACTGTGGGCATGGAGGAATATGAGGCTGGGGCGATGCCTTACTGTAAAGCTGGAATGTGTTTTATAGAAGAAAATTAGAATGCATAAACATGTGTGTGTATGTAGACCTTTGTGTGGGGAGCGGTGGGGCAGTGTGTTGCACGACAAATCCGGTAAACGCAAGTTCGATTCCCTCTCACGGCCAACATCGGTGACGATTATTTGACCGGTCCTGGGCCTTCTCTGGTCGACTCAGCCTAAAATGAGTACCTGGTGCGATGTATAAACATCGCCACTGGGGAGACAAAGGCCGCCGGGCGTGGTGCTGGCCATCCACTTCCTCGTATGCCATCCCCGCTTTCATAAGTGCTCTCTGAAAGCACTTGCCTCAACAGTATGTTAAGGCTATATGGGGGATATTTTTCTTTCTCTTGTAGACCTTTGTATCCAAGTAAGAGCCCATTGACTCTAAATTGTTATTTTCTAAGATAGACATAAGTAAAGAATCAGTACAGCTTACACAATTAACACAGTCAAACTAAAATCAAAGCAGTATATGGCTCCTTGGTTCTACTCACTTTTCCCATCTGCATGCAACACGGTCGCATTATGGCAAGGGCAGGCTGATGGCACACCCCATCCTCAACATTTAATGCATCAAGGGAGAAAAAACATGCATGGTCTCTGTCAGACTTTCCAACATGGATTGTCCGTGGAAGTATTTAATTAGCAATAATAATATAACCTGAGCCACAATGCAGGATGTTTGCATGACTGATATGAGATAACTTCACACATCATGATGTCATCAGAGGGGGAAGCCTGCATGGCTTGTGATGTCATCTGCTTGGATAAAAAGCGAAAAATGTAGTGCTGTTTTTAATCGTCAAGTTTTGGTCAAATTTTCCTATAACAACTTCATGCAAATTGTGTACTTACATTGGGAGAGGGTTATCATGACTCCATGTTACGGATGGACAAACAGAGTTAATGCATGCATACTCCCAGTCTTCGTTTTTGGAAAATGTAAAAAACTCACTTTTCTCGTCAATGACACTTAAAATGTATGTTCAAATGCTTAGGTTATGGTATTGGTAGGTCCCTACTTAATCATTCTCTTTGATTATGAGTTGCGATTTTTTTTAATGGAAGGTAATTTTCAACTGGGATTTTGGCTATGGAGCTGACACAATATACCTGGAATTTACTCTGGCAGAGTACTTACTCTGGTGATGAGTTCTAATCCTGGCCATGGTGGGAAGTTGGAGATGGCTGTTCCATCATCGAGACTGGTCCCTGTCAGAGAAATGTGGAACTCTTTATATCGTACTGGATGAGCATGTTGCTGGTTTAAGGTTAGGAGCACTTTGACTGTAATTAACGCACTGATTCCTGATCTTGTGAAGGCTGACACAGTGTCTTTACCTTGTAAACTGCTATAGTGATTACGGGGCAACTGTAGGATTGAAACCCTTGTTATGTGGAATGGTTAATTGGTGAGTGCATGATCAACGGCTCATAAACATTCCCTCTTGACAGATGACTATGACGTTGAAGCCATCAACAGCGCGGTGCAAGAATTTGAGAAGAAAACCTGTGTCAGGTTCTACCCTGTTGGCTCTGAAGGAGACTTCATTCATATCCAGGCCTTGGACGGGTAAGGGTGTTTTACTTTCACCATTTAAATCCATAACTAGGATGGATAGTTATACTTCTGAGTTAAAGAATGGTCAAACTTGTAAATGGGTGCTCACAAAATCGTATTTTATATTTGGTTTACGAATTGGCAGGTATTGGGCCATTAATCTGCAGCTTGTGCATACCTATTATGATCCTCTCTGTTCCAGGCATCCCAGCAAGAACTGGTCATTCCTGGGCCGTCAGGGCGGGGACCAGGCGCTGTCCCTGGAGCCTGGGAAGGTGACCAAGGGCACGGTTCTGCACGAGTTGATGCACGCACTCGGCTTCCACCACGAGCACTGCCGCAGCGACCGCGGCCAGCACGTCTTCGTTCTGAGTGACAACGTCAAAGATGGTGAGATGCAGGGGAAAGGAATGGGGGTAGAAAGAAAGCAGTAGATGAATGAGTCCCAGAGACATACCGAAACTGAACTACATAGTCTCAGACACAGGAACACACAGCTATCAAATGTATTGATCAAATATAATTTTAAATATTTAATGACATGCCCTGTAGTATATACATTGTAAATGAAATATATTGCAAATTACACGTGAATCCTTGACTATGATACTTTGAAATGTGTAATCCATGTCATTATACAAACAGTGAAAGGAAATCCAGGCCCTTCCTTAAATTGCGCACACATAAGGATACATGCATTCAGGTGCTTATATCTTGACATATATGTGCTTGCCAGATATTCTTCTGGGCGTCATTTGGGATCAGTGTCGTTTGTTATTTAGCCTGTGAAGCTGCCGCATTTTAAACACTCTCCGAATCTCCCATACGATCTCCCCACTGACATTAATTGTGAGAGCAACATCCTGAGTGGATCATCACCATCCTCTTGTAGTCCTGGCAGTGACGAGTATTGTCCCTGCTAATGCTGTGCTCTATTGGCTTGCGCAATAGGAGAGGCAGTTCTGGAGTCGCACATCAATACAGTCCCCTTCTGTGCTGCCATCTACGCCCCACCCCCTACTCCCCTCTGTACTGCCTCTTAGGGGGGCCCCACATGCTTCACAGTTGGTTGCTCAGGGCCTGTTACCTTCCATCGATATACTGCAACACATTATGCAAAGTGTGGGTAATACTGATAAAGTAGTTCTGTTGGTCTGCACTTGTGAAGGCTGTCATTTTGCTGTTGAATGCATGGATTGAATGGTGTGATACGCATTCATCACAAAACACTGGAATTGAGAGAAGCTTTCCAGGTACATATTTTCACAGTTGTAATTTTCTCCTTGATTGACATCATCATCAAAGAGCTTTCAAACCAGCGTAATTAAGTGATGCTGTATGTGGACGCAATGTAAATAAATTTGAATGAAAACTAAACTTTTTACGTTTCTTTTTTACAGAATGGAAGCGAGACATCGTGCACATGAAATCCACTGCCCAGGACCTGGCAGCGCCTTACGACTGCAACTCCATCATGCACTACAGCATGTATGTGTGTGGCATGTGCTGCGTAACCACACTTCACACTACACCATCTACAATTGTTGCTCATAAGCAATATCCAGCCATAAACCAGGAAGCTGTCTGTGCGCCTACATGCGATAGGTGTATTTCTGAATTAGATTAGTGGTGAGAAAACCTGTGTATCACAGCAAATTATCTTGCAGTACACCGAAACCTTGCACATCGCTGGGGGCTACGTTCTTGAAAATAGTCGCAATCGCAAATCTGCGATCCGAAACTCAAAAGCGTATGGCAAAAATATGGTTTGGTTCTCTCTTCGTAATACCACACCCCCTCCTTTTATGTTACCCTAAATTAACCCAAACATGAGACAGGAAGTATGTTTTACGTAACATATTAATGCTTAATGTATAGTTAAATATAACTTGTACAGTCAATGTATAAAAGGGAAAAATAATGGAGTGTACAGTACTGTACTGTACACATAAAAGTAAACCTGAAAATAAAGATAAGGTTAATGACATGTGCAGTAAATATGCAGTTAAAAATGGATAAACTAAACTTTCTTAGTTACTATGAATGATGATGATGATGGCATGTGTATTATTCCGTGGCATTATCACCTCGAGCAGAGAGCAGTTAAAGAGTACAGTCTCTTTACGATACAGACTGTACAGGATTCTCACGGTCAACTGCGAATGGTTGAGCCACAGGGGCGCGATTGGCAAACTATACCTCAATACATTCGGTGTGAATGGTCAAATCCACAATAAGAAAGCTCATGATGGGCAAATGAAATTTTAAGTATTCGCAATCTTCATATACAACTTACATTTTATCAGCATCGTTACGTATTATTTTGTTTAGTATGTAGCCAAAAGCGCGTTGTGCATTACAGATATTCCTGCTGAACGACGACTTGCCTGCTGCTGCTGTTTATGGCAGCAAAGAAATATATTTGAAAAAATCGGTCTTGAATGCATTTGCAAATAAGTGAATGCCACAACTGTGTTGCTTATATCCAGCTCTAAATCATCACAACCTTAGACGTGCCACTGCCACCCCATACTCTGTGAATAATTGGTTTGGTCTGGTATCAAGTTTCACTTGACGCTCAGTTATGGAATCACTTTGGCATCACAATTGCAACTAAATTCAATCCTAACCAAAACTGAGTTTGAAGTAGAATTGATGAATAGGCTGGATACAATCTTTTGTAAATATTTGGTTAGCTCTTGTAATATTTCCTGACTACCCGAGCCATTTTGTTTACATATCACATTTTATGCAATTTTATGCATTACGTGTACTTGCCTCATCTTGTCACTTTCCTTTCCAAAAGTTCTATTTCATACTTTTTATTTTATGACAAGCAAACTAACTGAAAAATTTAGACTGATTTGTAAAAAAAATGTATGTTTAAATTGTTCTTAATGTAACCCAGGTTGCACTTGCAAAAGAGAATGTTTCACGCGTCTCAATGGATCCGTTTCATCTCCTAGTTAAATTTCAGGGTGTAAACAAACAACTTGGGCCTGATTTGCTCCCCCCAAACCTATTTATTTCTGCAGTGTCTTGCCATCCACACTTGCTGAGTAAAGTGGAATTCAGGGTTCAAGGAGCAAATTACCAACTTGAAAAAACTTGAACCGACTGTTTGTCTCTTTGGTAATGGAGATATAGTCCCGGCAAGTTGCCAAAATTTCCACAAAATGGAACATTTACCCACATGTAAATTGGGTCTCTTGTGTATTGCGCCATCATCTTATGCATCTGTGTGTATAAAAGACCACTCTTTATTAATACCGATGCATACGATGATGACTACACAGATGAGTTTGTCTCAGTGTTTAGCTTCGATGGAACACTGCGAGTCTGTGTTTGCCCAGGACTGCAGGCTCCCTATATGAGTGCCTGTGTTTGTTCGTGTCCAGGACGGCGGGCTCAGTGGACGAGCGCAACCCGACCATCATCCCCAAGAACCCGCTCCTCATGCTGCACATGGGGCACGGCAATGCCCTGAGCCCCTGTGACGTGGTCAAGGTGCAGAAGCTGTATGGCCACGACGCTGAGCTCCCGGCCCCAGTGACAAAACCTTCCCCGGGTGCGTTTGCCGAGTCACTGCGCCGGATACAGTGTGCCTACCCGTGCACATTTGCTTGGTGCTGTTTGCATCAACACTCGTGTCACAATACATTATTGTATAACACGACGTAAATTTGATCTTAGCATCATAGTAACACTGCCTCATGTATCTATGTTCTTCAAAGAAAGGGCAATGCGGAGTTATTGAATAATGTACAGAAATGTAAATCATAGATCTTTTTTTCTAAGCACACTGGGGAACTGGCAATAATACAATGGTAAATGCAGTTTCAGCAGTGTTTCTATCGTTATTTGGGTTTGAAGTCCTTTGTAACACATCTCATTTTGAAAATGACCATGATTATTTTATATTTATGGTCAATTACACTTATATTGACGAGGTTCACACCCATACCAACACATCGTACTCAAATGGACTTCATCACACCATGCCAAGAGTCAAATGTACGCACAGTCCTTACATCACGCTTAGCCGGGTGGTGGTGGTGGTGGTGCACACTCTGTAATCCAGTACTGGAGGTGAGGGTTGGTAGATCACACAAATGTTGTGAAACTCCCTTCCCATGGTGCATCAATGTGCCATATCCTGGTTTGCTAGGAAAAGGCATAGCAAAATGTGGACTCCACCTTTTCCATCTGTATGGGATATTAAAACTAACCTATAAACTATTTTTATTTTACCAGATATGGTCCACTGAGCTATACAGCTCTTTTTCAAACGCAACCTGGCCACAAATCATAGCTCAACGATGTGGCTTATGTGGAAATTTCTAACAACAACGCATGTTTCTAAATGTGGAGATAAAAACCGGAGGACTCGGGGACAAATCCATGCCACCATGGGGAGGACATGCAAACTCCAAATATACAGGCGTCAGAGTCGGGATTGAACACACGATTCCCTACATACCAAGCGAGGGAGTAAACGTTTCTCTGGGTGCTTGGTGTCCTCCCATATCTAAGCACTCATTAATTGGCCGAAAACATTAATATGTAGGGGACCGAAGAGCGTGGGCAATTGTTGACGCCTGCTCACCACCTGTCTGCCTTCCCACCTGTCTGTGCTTCCGTGCGCCTCCGAGTCATTCCTTCTTCGAGAGTGAGCGAATAATATGTGCGTTACGAGTTGAAATTATTATGATTTAACCACTATATAGTTTAACACGTAGACTTTCGCGACCAATATCATCCATAATAGAGGGGTTTTTTTGTGTTAGATTGCGTAAATATATAAATTCTTGTTAAAACCCGCCACCACCCGACACAGCCAATTAGTAAGGGTTGTCACATTAACACATTAACAAAACATACCAATTCGTCACTCGTACAGCACACCGGTCTGTTGGAGAGCCAAGCCACAACATTTACAAAAAAAATCTCTTATGAACCACTATATCGTTTGAAACTATTCTATATTATGCAATTATTTGATTTCACCTAATAGGCATAGTTGTAAATATAAAAAATTATTAAAGCATTAAAAATTATGCTCATGAATCCATTTAAGAATTCATATTTATATGTCTCTATATTGTCTTGTTTTACATTTCCTTGTTTGTTCTGCCTCTTTCGAACCATCTGTCTCATTTGTTCCACAATCCTAAAAGTACATTGCCTTATAATCTGCATCATTTGTAAATAATCAGCTTTTCAAAACACGTGTGTGCATGTATCTTGAGCATAAGAATTGATCACACTGGGTGGATCTATGCACCATTGCGTGCCTGCTCACTGCTGTGTGCTGGGTGGTGCAGCTGCCGCTGGGCAGGAGGGTGCTGGAGGCAGAACCGAGCCCTTGGACAACCTGATTGGTGCCTGGAGAAAGAAGGTGAGCAATGGTGCCATGAACTTGAGCGCAGCTCTTTGTTTGCTTGTGTAAACATTTATGTTCTTGTAAATAAAACAATTGTATCATGAATCCAGGTAACACTGACAAAGCACTCAACACAAAATCAGAAGGAGCTCACAATTTCAAATCTTGGTGTGATGTTGATTCAGCCCATAAATCTTGCAGGGTCATTAAAATAGGTACCACGTTGATTATGAAGGTACCACTTTGCCTGATTGACTAATATATAAACAATTTTTAATCAAATATTAAGATAAATACAACAGATCCTAGAACTATAACACCTTTTATTCTATTCTGCAGTACATATTTAGAGTTTGAATATTGTGACATGACATCAAGACAAGTCTGATGTGCCCCAGAACTTGGAGCAGTTCTTTGCTCGACAAGCTCTAATATAGCTCCCACACATGGCATCATCAACTTGGAAGGTAGCTCAGGTCTTGCCAATTCCAAAATATAAAAGTCCTTCGTGTATGAGAATATACCGTCATATTGCCCTGACTGCATTACTCTGCAAAGTGATAGTCTGTAATCAACCATCACCTAGAGACATTTTCGCTTCTTCATGATCATCAACATGGCTCGCAGAAAGCTCATTCTACAGGTGACTTGTCAGCTTACGTGACTTATTTCTGGAGGTCAATCATTAAAATGTTGAATATAGTCCATGACCATGGCTCTTGACATTTCTAAGGATTTTGATTGTGGGGTACCGAGCACCACTTGCCCTGCTGCCATCATGTAGCGTTCACCCTCACCTGCGAGCATGGGTCTCTGCATTTCTTACTGACCAATCATGACACACGCTCAAGGTAACCAGTCCGACCGACACTTTTAGCACCAGCTCTGACATTATGTAGGGCTCCATTCTTTTTCTGACAGTCTTATTTTCATAAATTACTATTTATATTTTACTCACAATTTAATCAACTCATTTGCTGATAATTGTACACCACACTCATTTCAATAACAAGCATAAAGTAGAACTTCCTTAGCTGGCCAGTGCACTGACACTTCACGACTGGCTTGATCAATTATGACTGGCTTGAAACAGTCATTGAGTGGGCTTAGAGGAAGCTGGTCATTATCAACCGTAACATAATTCCGTCAGTGCTTATGTCACTGAAGGCTTTCAATACTGTTTCCTCTGATGTAATTTAACACTGTTGATCTCATCCATAATACGTTATTCAATTGGGCATGAACAATTTAACTGATCAGCCTTGGGTCATTTTCATTGCTAATCTGAGTAAGGAGGCTTCTAATAGAGTCCGAATTAATTTCTGCACCAAACCCTTCACCTCTCACTACATGTTCCTACTTTACAAGCACTAATCTGAGGCTGTTGTGTTCTTGTCACTTCTGCGGTGGAGCTCCTAGTTCCTACCCAACTTTGCCGGATTGAATCCCACGTAAACCATTTCAGTTTATCGATGTTGCTATGCTGAATTATTCAATTACTCTCTCACAAATCGTTCAGTTTCGTATCACTCATTTACCACCACAATGGTCAGTTCTCATGAACGTCATGCCTTTATGCCTCGAGCCACGGAAAAGGTTCATTATACCAGTTTGATTGTTTAGAAACATGCATTTAGAGTATTTGGCTGCTATAAATTTCCACATGATAAGCCACTTAGTTGGGCGATAATTTGTGGCCAGCTCACTTCTGAAAAAGATATATATAGCTCAGTGGGCCTTACCTGGTAAAATTACAATAGTTTTTTGTTGTGTTGGTTCTTCCCTGCAGTCCTATCATTCATGCCCTGTGCATCTGCTCGATTCGCCTTATAGGTTTGCAGGCCTGGTGCTCAGCAGCTATAATAGTTTGTAAAAAAAAATCAGTATGTAGTTTAATTTAAACAAATAATGTTGCTTGCATGGCCTGAAAAGTAGAGGTGTACTACTGGTGTCCTGAGGGACGCCCACTAACTGTGGTTGATTGCCCTGCGTGTGCCACAGTGAAACAACTGAGTTGTGGCTCTGCCCTCAGGGACTGTATTCCCCACTAACTCTCGTTTCTTACATCGCAAATTTTGCCGCAGACGGAGCAAGAATTCAAAGAGGAAAAGGAAAAGAAAGGTGGGATGGCAAATTAACACTTGCATCATGTTTATTTAACCAGACTCAATGTGAAAATAAACAGTGTTTCTATATGTAATTTGACTCAGTCATTCTAGATTTGAAGCTTTCGTGACTGCAATGATTCATATTCTTAGGTTTTTTCGGTAAAGTCACGTAGGTAAAAACATTAAAAAGTAAAATAAAATGAAAATAAAAATCACGACGTTTCGGAGGCAACACAAGCTTCCGTCTTCAGGTGGTACCGTCACAGCCACGACGGCTGTATCAAGTAAATGAGAGATTGTAGGAGCTACCACTCCATCTTCAACCATTATATAAACGGAGTGGTAGCTCCTACAATCTCTCATTTACTTGATACAGCCGTCGTGGCTGTGACGGTACCACCTGAAGACGGAAGCTTGTGTTGCCTCCGAAACGTGATTTTTATTTTATTTTCATTTTATTTTACTTTTTAATGATTTTACCTACGTGACTTTACCGAAAAAACCTAAGAATTTGACTCAGTCAATTGATTACGGAAAACTAATTACAATATATCATGTAAATAATGGCAAGATTTTAACAGAAAAGCACATGAGGAAAGTACTCTGATGAGTTTATCAAATAACCAAAGCTGCATTATTGTTCATTACCTCCATATGTTAGGCAGATGCAGTGTTCTGTACAAGGACTCTTGCAATAGTCACTGTGTATTTAACGTGATATGTTCCACTAACACATATGTTGATGAACTCTGTGTAGAGATGGACCTAAAGTCAAAAGCAGATATGATTAAAAACATCATTGAAGAGGTGAAACGCCAGTCCAGGTGAGAAGTGTGTGACGTGATGATAGAAACACAGATACAAGTGAATAACATGTGTAGCGACTCGGACAACTTCTTGTCTTCGTTCTTTATTTATTAAGGTGCATCGCGCAGATAACGTCCTCTCATATCCTACAGTACTTAGCTATGACTAGCATACCGTACTTGAGCTAGAATAACAACAGATACTTAGGCTAGGATAACAACAGATACTGGGGCCCAAGTAGCGACGACATGAAGACAGTTACGACAGGAAGACGACGACGGCATGGTACCAGTCCAGCCCGATCCCCGGGCAGCCCCAAGCTCTCCCAGCCGCTTTTTATTCCCCCCCCCCCCCGCATGACTTCGCCCCGCCCCCGGCCACGCCCCCCCCCCCCTTCTCGAACTGTCTCAGCCAATCCCGAACATCCCCGATGGTCCCTCCTGTAATTATCCCTCGTGACCACTTGGCCACGCACTGTCTCTAGCATCTTTCCAGGATCATTATTTTTATAGCTTGATGTCAATGCATTGTAATGCATTACATCTATTATTCAATGGAGTAATTATTTTATATCACGGTTGCTGTGCACAAGCCAAAAGTTACACAAACGCCAAGCGTCCAGCAACAGCGTGTCCCACCCATGGCAAGCGCCTCCTTCTGATTGATCCTCACTTGCTTCCCTGATCCATTCTGCTCCAACAGGTTGCTTACCTTGTCCTCTGATACAATTCCGTGAATTTTTAAATGCTTTATCAGAGACCAGCTCTGACTCGTGCATTAACAGAAATTAATTCGACCTATTAACATCGCTTGGGCCTCTGCTCTTTCATGGTATATTCAATTCATAAAAAATTGCCCTGCGAGTGCAAGGTGTCTTTCGACTTTGTTCTCACAGCCACTTTTGTTTTGCTTATTACAATATTTCCAAGATACACAATTACCCCCAAATCCCCACTTTCTACTCCTGCATGCGATAAGAGATGCAGGAGCTCCTATTCTAAACCCTTTTACTACTTTTGTGTTTGGAGAGCTCACTTGAGGCCCCAGTTCTCTAGAATGAAAATTTTAATTTGCCAAAATCTGAAATTCCCCATTTGAGGTCCTCGCTAGGTGTAAATTATCAATTTCCATTCCTGGGTTTGCATTTTTCTCTACCCCATCAATATTTGTATTAAGCACATAGTCGATCACTATGTTGAACTCTGTGGATAACAAATGGTCTTGCCAATCGTACTAATCGGAGGTGCATCTCGCACCATATCACACCACAGGATAACACAGGCTTTAGTCCCATCATATACATCCTTAATCAATTGGGTACCTGGAGTAGTGCTAAACAAACCTAGAAGCTTCCATAGTCCTCCTCTAAACAGAATGTTTTGGTTGCATAGAGTTTACAAAAAAATCCAGATCTCCCCATATTTCCCTCTCTTTGTTGACTGTTGGTAAACATCTGATGACTCAAACTCCTCTAACACTGGGATTCCATGAATGTTCAGATGAAAGAATATAACCTATCAATGGATTGGCTTGCCACCTTGTTTTCTGGAGCCATCTATATAAGTGAACTGCAGAACTACTCTATCCTTTTAATAAGGATTTCTTGTCACCGTTGAATTTGCACTAATCCACCTTGTCTCCTTTTAAGGTAATGCATGCTAATGAGCCAGGGTTTAGTAGATATTCACAGCTATCACTGCTGTGCACTGCTGTTTGCAAGTATTGTAAACATTGTTGTTTACTTTTCCTGTTCATTTACAGCTTCGACGAGTCTACAATCACAGCCCTGCAGTGCCTGCTTGACATCCTGACAGCCAAGTGCTCCGAGGAGGAGGAGGCAGCCCTGCACCTAGCTTTCAAGGAGCATGGAGGCGGACGTATGTGTACACTTAGCATGCGTACACTTTCCACGTGCAGACTTGTGATGTGTACACTAATGCGCACACTTATGTGTACACTTGACAAGTGTACTGTCATCATGTGTACACTTGTCATGTGTATATTTATCATGCGTGCACTTGTCGCGTGCACTCTTGGCATGCGTGCACTTGGCATGTGTACACTTGTGTACACTTGTGATGGCGATGACATGACTGACAATCATTCCTGTAGGAGAGCAGTTACATAGACATAGGCTCACTACAAGCAGCACACATACAACATTAACACATCAAGCCTTTAGGCAGCACATACACTGGTGGAGCCAGTGGGGGTGGGGAAGGGGTGGCACTGCCCCCCCAATGATCTAATTGAAATCCCTGATTTAGATCGGATCATTGGGGTTTATATATATATATATAAATGGGAAATGTGTGAATATGTTTGTCTGTTCGAAATGTTTAGTATACTTCCCGACATGCAACAAACTTTAAATTTGGCATGTGGGTAGCTTCCAGACTGTACACAATGCAAAAAGTATAAAAATAGACTTTTGTATTTGGGGGGGGGGGGGGGGGGGCGCAATAATGTATGAAATATATTGCACGGCAAGCGAGCGGTGACGTCACATCTGTGATGTCACCCGCATGCGGCAGCGTTACGCAGTGTGCCTGCTGACGTCACACATCCCCCCCACCAACCCTCCGCGTAGGCGTGTATCCCGCACAAATGCGCAGCATAGCTGTCTCGATTTTCTAAGTCAACGCGACTATTTTCAGCTCGCTCTTAAATATAAAGCAGAAAATACACCTGTTTGTGTGAAGCAGCAAAAAATCTCAAACGCTAAACTCTGACGTCATGAAATTTGCACAGCTTATGCTGTCTGGAAATTCTAAGGGAACGAGACAATTTTCAGCTCTCACGTCATTCCCTTCCTGAGTTGCCTAAATCATTTAGCATACTTCCCAACATGCTACAAACTTGAAATTTGGCATGTGGGTAGCTTCCAGACTGTACACAATGCTAAACGTAAAAAAATATACTTTTTTATTTTGGGGGGCGGGGGGGCGCAATAATGGATATACTGTATATTGCACGGCAAGGGAGCGGTGACGTCACATCTGTGATGTCACCCGCATGCGGCAGCGTCACGCTGTGTGCCTGCTGACGTCACGCATCCCCCCCCACCCCCCGCGGCGTAGGCAGTGTATTAATCGAAGACAAGAATCCAAGTCTCAGGCGAAGCCGGGTAGTAAAGCTAGTTAGTAATAAATCGGCATTTTGCGACCCCCACTGCCACTGTGTAGCATATTATTACGTGCCAGGAACTCTATGAGATGATGGACAATAGTCTGAGTCCATAATTGGAAATAAGCAACTGCAAAGCAGTCATAAGTGACTCAGAATTGTGCACAGTTGCATAAACAGTACATGACTTCCCTGAAGGCATACCTTCAGCGAGCGCGACGCCGATCACGATCAAATCATGTCATACTTCCAGGCTATGCGCCATCGCCGCACACGCGTCGAATTAAAAGCAAGGGACAAGTCCTTACTTACTAACAACTCCTATAATTTTTCATTGCTGGAGGGGTTACCACCCCTACCTGGAAATTCTGGCTCTGCCACTGAGCACATAGCCATGGTGGTCAATGGCTTTATGAAGTTCCTTAATGCAAATGTATCTCTTAATTCCGCAGTAGAAAGCAGAAATAGAAGTTGTGCAAAAATGTGAGTTGCGCGCATAATGGATAATGTTTGACGCGTGTTCTCTTAGATCTGCTCGTCCGCATCATGGATGCGCCCAAGAAAAGAGAGGTGCGCACCGCGCTGCTGGACATGCTGTCAAAGGTCTCCAACGCCATGTCAATGCACACTGGAGGAAAAGGTAAGGACTGCTGTACGCCCTCATCAGCTAACTCTCATGCTTTGCTCGCTAGCAGTACAGAGACTTCACATTGGCTATGGTCTAGCACACCATATTATAAGCGTGTATGAGGTTGTAGATGTGAGCATAAGTGTTTCATGTGTAAAGTTTCACAGTTTTTACAAGGATTGAGAAGCAGGAGATCTTGGTGGCTTCAGTCGGTCTCGGCAGAAACACGGGGAAACCTGTGACACTATGCCAGTTTAATAGATTTGAGGCACTTCACGAGAAAAGTTCTTATGGATCAGGGAACATGAAGTCTAGGAGCAGTTTACAGGCCTTCATAAGTACATGATACAAGTGACTTGCTTAAGCATCATCAGCCGGTCCACTTGGATGAAGACCTCTCCATGTCCAAGCCATCCCTCTTAGTCCTGCGATGCCACTTTCAATCTCTTAGATGTGAACTCATCTCATTGCTCCACCTCCATGGTGGGCATTCTCTTGGTTCTATTCTCTTCTTTAGTTGCCATTTCCTTACTAATCTTGTGCATCCACTGTTGTCTATTCCAGTGATGTATCCTGCCCAGGCCCATTTTTTTTTATAATTGAAGTTAACATTAGTGATTTGCATTTGATCCTTGCATTTGGGCAAAACAGCAAATACAAAACATGATATACATTTCCTCTCAGCTATCTCAGATTAGTGTGTAATTTCACAAAATCATCCTAAGGCACAGTTACAGACCAATCTAAACAGAAAGAGTATGTGATTGCCGTCTGAAGATTGTACAAGTCACCAAGAATGACAACGCTAAATATCAAACTCATTTGGTCACTGAAGGTGGCCTCTATCCTTGTCTCCTTGCACTGAACACTGGCCATGTGCTTCATAGGGCTTTGCATGATTTAAAGAGAATGTATTTTATATTATTCACTACACTTAAAAAAAAAAACGAATGTTGTTATACTGATTTTAAAACGAAATGTTTTACTCATAATCATAAACTCTTCAAATACATTTTTTTATAAACATTCCTTTCTACAATTTTCTGAAATGTTTGAAATGCTTTGCTATTTTGAACATGAAATGCCAAATTAATTTAAACTAAGTAACTTGCATAATTTAATTTATACTATTTTTAGATTCAATGAAATGTGTGGTACTTTTACTTCATAATGTGTCCTAGTTTCTCTGGATATAGGCTAAGTGCTCCTCATATTAATTCATGTTGACTTTGCATTCTGTAGAGGAAATTAAAGCTTTATTGGAAGGTATGCTGATGCCTGCACTATCTATTTTCTCTCCCCTATTTCAGGTGCAGGGGAAGATGGGATGAGAACAGGCGACATTGCTGGAGATCTGTCACAGAAAGTCGTGGATTGGCCCAAACAACCGGACGGAAAAGTTCGCATCCCCTACAACATCTCCATCGCTTTCCGTAAGAACTGCTCTGTCTGCCGCCAAATTTGGTTTCTGTGCATTATTCAACCATCACTTACACATTGACATTTGGGCTCCCTTTTTCAATGACAGTACAGACACAGGCCTGTAATATTAACCTGGGTCACGAATTAACCTGCAATCATAAAACCTCTATATTGCCATGTTCAGCAATCATACAACCCCTGTATTGCACGGTGAGCTGTGCACTTGAGTGGTTTAATTAGACCACATCTGCCAAATAGTCTGCATTCGACTTGACCACATTAAGTAAAACACAATAGTTGTAGGCATTGTTGACGAGGCAGAAAATATTAAACTTACTACGCCTATAAACATTGCTTTTCCTCGAGAAGGGACTTGGCATTTGACCTGCGGTTGCGTGTGCTGCTCACTCAGCTGGCTTGCAGCTTGCTGGCTCCATCTATAGGATGTTGTCTGCACATGGCAGAAGCGTCATCAATCAACCCCGTGAACAAGCATGCATAATGTTATCTCGGATATAAAAAGCAATTTACTATTTTTTTTATTTTACCAGGTAAGGCTCACTGAGCTATATAGTTATTTTTCAGACGTGACCTGGCCACAAATGATAGCTCAATAAAGTGGCTTTGTCGACATTTTTATAGCAGCCAAATACTTTAAAACACGTTTATTAATGTGAATGAAAAACCAGAGGACCCAGAGAAAAATCCACACGACCACAGGGAGAGAGACATGCAAATTCCAAATATACAGGTGTCAGGGTTAGGATCAAACCCACAATATCATGTATACCAGGCGAGGTAGTTAACCATTTTGCCACCGTGGCACTAGCAGTGGGGTTACATTCACCATGGTTCATATTGCTAAAATGAATTTCCTGAAGTGTGTCATTGTGTTTACCTCATTCTAAAATGCAACCATGATTATCCGGCAGTACACAATGAATGGCCAATATTACTTGCTACATTATAAATATTTGCTATGCATGTTTTTGAATGGCAGCTGCCAAGGACCGGGATGTGATCGAGCAAGCCATCCAGGAGTTTAACGAGAAGACCTGCGTGCGCTTCATTCCGAGGAAGCGTGCCGACGACTACATCAACTTCCAGGCATTGGGCGGGTGAGCAGCTCCAGTGAGAAGCATCACAGAGACTCCTCTTCATCCTGGTTTGGGTTAGGGCAGGTCAAGAGAGATGTATCTCCTTTTTTATTACATCATTTCTGCATTTTCTGTCTCTGTAGTATCCATGTTTAATGTTTTTGGTTTTCTGCTGAATGCCGGGTGCTGTGTGAGCAGGAGCTGGTCGTTCCTGGGCAAGAAGGGAGGGGCCCAGTCTGTGTCCCTGGAGCCTGGGAAAGTGGAGAAAGGCACGGTTCTGCACGAGCTCATGCACGCGCTCGGCTACCACCACGAGCACTGCAGGCATGACCGTGACCAGCACGTCCACATCAAAGAGGACAACATCAAGGAGGGTACGTTCCTTGACGCGATGCATTCGTGGCTTTTGCCAGCGGCAGTGAGATGCATGCTGAGAGATGGGGAAACTGGAGGTGGCTTAATTCTTAATTTAGGCACGTTAAAGATTTTCAACTTCTTGTACAGCACACTGACTGTTGTGCTTGTGGATATTGATGCTATGATTCTCCTGATATCTCTCAGGAGAGGCTTGTCAAGTTATGTAGGTGGGAAAGGAATCACTTCAGGTTGGGAAACGTTTATGAGTAATGGTTCGCACAGACATTCAATCTCAGAGAACGTTTTCACAAAATGGGTGAAAATCGATTTTGATTAAAATAGATGTAGACATTTGTGAAATTGGTAGCTTTTAAATGGTTAAGTCATCACGAGAAAAATACTTTAATTGATAGAGATTGTTCATGCAAACGTAATTTGTCTTGTCTGAAAATGGACAACTGCAGAGTAAGCAGTGTTTGCGTAGCTCTTTGTAACCATGCATTGATTTCACAATCGTAAGGTAAAGAGTTAAATCCTGGTTAGCGGTCAACTCAGTTCATCATCCCTCTGGGGTTGATAATATATATGTACCACCTAAGGGTAGTCAACAGTGTTTATCCTATGAAAAGTCTGATCATGCCATGAGAACATACAATTTCCACAGGGCAGTCAATCGGAATGAGCACCGTCCTCTCGCTTGTATGAGCTTGGAGACACTGTGACTTTAATTCGGAACACCAGTGATGAACAAGTAAACAAACACTTGCACTTCCTTCCAAGTGCTGTGTGCTGGGCAAGCCAGTCAGTTTATTTAAGTTAAGGGTGAGATGTTATCTGCCTCGCCTGGTATATAGGTCGTGGGTTTCATCCCAACCCTGACGCCTGGATATTTTGAGTTTTCATGTTCTCCCTGTGGTAGCATAATTTTTCTCCGGGTCGTCGGGTTTTTCTCTCAACATTTAGAAACATGTTTGAACTATTTGGCTGCTATACATTTCCATGTGATACGCCACTTCATTGAGCTATCATTTGTTGCCAGGACGCTTCTGAAAAAGAGCTATATAGCTCAGTGGGCCTTACCTGGTAAAATAAAAAATAGTTAGTACACCCTATTGCAGCATTGTTTCCATGTCGGTGTCAGTAAAGTGAGCACTGTCTTTGTACTTTCAGATGATCTGTGTCAGTTCAACCGCATGGAAGACAGCAACAGTGACTATGGGCTGCCCTATGACTACATCTCCATCACACACTACAGCAGGTACATGTACAGCTCCTGCAGGACAGTGCTGTCACAATCAAATTACACAGCACCAAGGCCTCCCTAAGTTGTTATAGTAGCTGTGCTTATTACTATATATCTAATACCTGGCTAAGTTACCCTCTGCTCATGCTCGCAAGTGTTACCGGTTGAACTGGTGCTGCTGATGCAGTGACTATGGAGTTTGAGGCGAAGCTCCACTCTGCACTGCTTAAGCTGTTCTCCAAGTATTAAGCTTGTACAACAATGATTATGTAGCCTTATATCCCTGCTGCTTGGAGCGATGATGCAGTGGGTGCGGCACTTAACTATGAATCCTCCAATCAGAGTTCGATTCGTGGCCATGGTTAACATCCATGACGAAGTGATATCTGAACTCCACCTCACCATCCCACACTGACTTTGTGACAATTGCATGAATATTAATTTAACAAAGCTTCTTTGATTAGCAAAGTGCCATAAGGTGATAGACCAATGTGATGAAGTTAATCTTCCGTTTTGAAGGTACGCAGCGTCGCTGGATGGCGTCAGCCCAACCATCGTTCCTGCCAGGGAGGGGAAGACTCCCGTGGGCCAGCGCAGCTTCCTCAGCCCCCTCGATGTCCTCAAAGTGCACCGCAAGTACCATGGGGTGAGCTGCTCATGGCTGCATATGGGGGTGGCGTTCGGCCCATGAGCCTGTGCTGTGTGGCGAATACCCAGGACTCGGCCTGCCAGGCTGTCGCACTCCATCACTGTGCACAAGCAACTGTTAAATCACATCCAATTGCGCAGGAGTAGATGGAGTCATTTTCCCTATGTTTTTTGCGCTTTCGTGGCGTGGAAGTGCCACATTCCCATGGTGGGGGTTAGTCTATCCACTATTGTCAACAAAGTGGTACCAATTTTATCAACCCCAGAGACATGATAGAATGAGTTGGAGCTTAATCAGGGTATGAATTGTGTTCTGTGGGCTCACTGTGAGAGTCAAGCTGATGGGTGCTCTAATCACTGGGTCAAAAGCTTCAATTCACCATGCCACCTGACACTAATATTGTACTGATGAACTCCAATAAGGGTGACAATGATACAAGTTGACATTGCTTGAGAACCAGGGCATTCAAATTCTCCAACTGATGGGCTTTTTAAATCCTTTATATTAAGTTCGCTTGCTTGCGTGCTTGCTTGCGTGCTTGCTTGCTTGCGTGCTTGCTTGCTTGCTTACGACCGTGCAAATCTTTCGGTCGTTTTTTAACCCACTTCCCGTGATCCAATCGAGCTGACATTTCCCACACAGACTCGTTGTGCCAGACAATTAATGTTTGTGAAAAAAAATTCCCAAAATTTTACACTTTTTAGGCAAAAAAAAAATATTTTACATATATTCAAATATAACTTATTCATGGCTTTGGCTGAACATCACAGTATAAGAGCCCAGAGCGTAACCCCTCCACAGGCCGTGGCGGAGTAGCGCAGTTGGTAGCACCCTCGCTTCCCATGCCACAGGTCGCGGGATCGATCCCCGCGTCCTCCACAGGCGAATATATTTTTTAATCCTTTATATTAAGTTCGCTGCCACGCATATAAAGGATTTATAGTGAAAAACTTTGTTTTTACTGGTTATACTTATTCCCATTCATACAGAGATCTTATGTTATTCTTCAATGCTGATAAAGTATTGTTTTATTTTAAGTCAATGCAAGAACCAAATGAGATCACACCATATAACAGTACTTTCCTGCAACCTCCATTGCATCTATGAGTTGCATGTAATGGTGGTCCATTTGGAACAAGCCCTGGCCTGCTTTTGCGGCAAACACTGTCTCATCATGCGAGAAAAAAGCGACTGCCTTCACAGAGACCGGACTGGAATGTGTGTTATTGATAAGGATTTGAGGGTAGATCACAGGACATGTTATTGAACGGGATTATAACCGATGATTAATTTACATTGTGTAAAATTGTGTGCATGCATGAATGTTCAGCTGAATCATACATAAACGATAAATCTAAATGAACAATGGCTAATGGAGAGGTGAACTATAACTTACATACACTGTCATTTTCTTAGCCCTCCACAGCTGCTGGTGGATCCGATGAGGATGTGGAAAAAGCCGTTCGAGAGGTTAGTACAGTACAACAATGGGCGCATGATGTCACAGTACAATACAAGATAATCATAAAGCAACGTGTGCTTTTCCATGGCTACAGCTACACGTATTGTCCACTAAAGTATTGAGCATTTGACACAGACATTCCTTCCAAACGTTCCAGTATCCCAGTTATGCAAGCCTTTATAACTGAAGGATTCAGATCCAGGTTTAATTTGTAGGTGTAATATTTAAAATCAACAGAAAGTCGCTTACATGTATGAACCAAGTTGTACATTGATGGGATATACCATGTAAGAAAGTGGAAGCGATACAGATCAGCAGGATTCCTTCGGAGGCAAATAACACGAGCACCACCTGGTGGCATGGGATGAGAATTCAGCAGCAGGTGTGCTCTGCATAGACTGGTCTGCACCATAGCAACATGGCATTTCCTCAAGTGACTCAGGACGACAAATGGAGGCACCACATCATTATTGAGCATGGGAACACACGTTCGTACAGTAATTACTGTATTGGCAACATGTATTTTATTTAACTTGGGCACAAGCTATTTTACCTGAGGCCAAATCCCCCAAAAACACTGAATAGACTACCAAAAGGGAGATCGTTGGAATTAGTGTCGGAGACTCAGTCTCACCATAGTAGGATACATGTTATGTACATTTTCATTTTATGCATGTGTACACAAAGACAAAAAACACCCGTATAACCTTAACAGACTATTAGGGCAAGTGGTGTTAGCCAGCACCTATGAAGGCCGGCACAGTACACGAGGTGGGTGGCCAGCATCACGCCCGACCACCTTTGTTTCATTGCTTTAGATGCTACTCAGGAAGAGCGGGAGGGCATACAGGCGAAATAACAAAAAAATAGTGAGAGACTGGCTCAGGATGGAACTGAATATTGGCAAAAGCAGGCAGAGGGAACACAAAATGATAATAAGAAGAGAGATAGGAAAAATATGTTCTCTACACTGTGGTTGTCCACCTTTTTGACCAGAGAAGCGCTAAGAGGGTATATTTAGAATCAACTACGTATAGCAGAGCATGCTCACAAAGGAAGTGCGGGAGGTGACGGAGAGTTTGGTTTTGTCACTTGAATAAGGAGGAATTACGAGACTCAACTGATTCACTGAGAGCATGAGGCGATAGCAGAGGTCACTTTCAAAAGATATAGAATTTTGAAGAGAAAGAGAAACCATAGAAAAGATTGAAATTGAAATAAAACAGCTAAAACCAGGCAAGAGCAGGAGGGCGTGTTAGTACTGACGAGACGCTGATAGATGCCGGGAACAGGGAGTAGTTTCCCCAGAATTGGAAAGGACCATTGTCATTCCATTCAATTCGAAAATGGAAATGAGAACTCTATGGATAACTTTATTGAGATAGAAATATACAGAGATGCTTTAGATTTGTTTATAGAATTTAAGCAAGCATCTGATCTATTTTGATTTAAAGCTTTTAGTGACTGCAGGGATTCATATACTTGGTTATTTCGGTAAAGTCACGTAGAAGGGAAATAATGGATTTCACACCTTGTGTTGAAGTCGAAACGTCGTGATAATTTTTATTGTTTTATATTTATATTATTTTATTATTTCCCTTCTACGTGACTTTACCGAAATAACCAAGAACATCTGATCTATGTGAAGAAAACACTTTCGGAACTGCTAGGTTGTAAGAAATGTATATTACTATGAGAAACATCAGTGTGGTTTGAAGTGAGAACGAGTGTTAAGCAGATATATTCTCCAACTTCATTCAGCATCATGGTACTTTATGCATTTATTAAACCCAAGAAGAGCAGAGAGAAAACCATTGAAGGCTCACAATGGATGATTTTCACCTGGGAGACGTGGAGTGTGCAGTCAGTGCAGGTTTGCTCACGGGGAACTTGGCTGGGGTAGTGCAGCTCTGGGCAGTGATGGGCGCCAAGTCTGACACTGAGCTCTTAACGTGAGCTTCTCTAGCACGGAGCTTATGGCAGTGGCTAGCGATGGGTCCCATGCCCCTGTATCACAGGTGTTGGTCGGAAGTGAGAGTGCGGACCACACAAACTACTTTGGAATAGTAGAGAGATCAAATGTTGAGACGGTGTTTGAGGCAAGAGTGATGTCTCTGTTTTCTGTGTGGGTCAGAGACTTATCCTTCATCAAAGCAACTTTTAACAATGAAGGGTGCATACTTAGAGTGCTAGGAATCCCATGGGATAGGGTAATCATCTTGGAAGTTAACGATTGAACGTGGGAAAAAAGTGAAGTAGATGTAATTAAAAAAATGTGACAATTGATAGGACTCGTGTCTAGAATGGAGGAGGGCAGGTTACCAAGAATATCATTGCAGTGGAACCTAGAGGTGGTGACCACAGAGAAGACTTGAAGCCAGTTGATTGGGCACTGTCAGGGCAAACCTTATCGCAACTACGAAGCGTAGTCGATGGATGGAGATGATGGATAAATGTTGTCTCATTAGCGGTACTGGCGATGATGTGCATTTTATTGCTAAGTGTTTCATTACAAGAGGAATAACATGTTGATGTATGGTGGTGGTATATCCAGGCTGACATTACATTGTCGTTTTTTCACAGACGGCCGCACTCATGGAGACGGTGGAAGAGCTGCCTTCAGAGGTCTGTGCTGCTTCACCACTACTCAACTCTTTATTTGGCATTCTAGTGTTCTATAGACGTGACACTCACAGCATAGTAATATACTAGTGTTATATTGTATGCCACAGCACTATATTATTCTTCATTGCACATAGGCTAAAATGAAGATACTTCAGGCAATATGTACTATGAAGGGCCATTTTACCAGAAATGTCATCTATTATATATATTTTTTTCCCTTTTAATGCAGTATTATTGATGAATGTGTTGAGTGATTGTTATTTGTGCTTGTACACCACGGCTAATGCAGTCTCACCAAATCACTTGTTTAGCATTATACATGGTTCTACTGCAGTGACACCACGTTTTTATCGTGTTATTCTTTTCCAGTGGCACTCGTGGAGTTTTCATATTCTCATATTCTACAGTACGGAAACAGATTGTTAATATTCTTGCATTCTACAGGGATTTGGACATTTACGTTTTCTGGGCAGGTAGCAAAATGTATATTGAAAGCGAAGATATCCAATGTAAATCATTTATTACAATACACAATTCATAAGTTGGGAGAAAGCTTTACCATTTTACATTATTTCAAGAGGTTCAACAGAGTTTACTTTACATCTTTGTTCAATCTAGATAAGGGAGTTTTTTAAAGGTAAACCAAGATGTTTTGGCAGTTGGATACCTTGGAAAACTTTTTTATCGAGATTTAAAATAGCTAGAAAATAGGCTATGTTCAACCTATTCCGAATTTTTATTTTAAAGTTGTCTCCACCGGGCAGTGGTGGCTCATGCCTGCAATATAGCACTGTAGAGGCAAGGGTTCGTGGATCTCACAAATGTAGTGAAACTCCCTTCCCGTGGGCGTTGAGGTGGTGCTATACTCTGGCTCACGAAGAGAAAATGGTACAGGAAGTGTGTATGAATGACGCTCTATAAAAACGATATCTTGTTGTGTGGATTCAATGCATTGGTTCTGTATTAACACGAATACGTGTGTTGTCTCTCTTTAGCTTTTGGAAGCCCTGGGCAAAGAATCACAAGGTATCTTTACAGTCGTTGATGCGTCATATCAGCAGATGTTTTGTTTGAAGGTGATCAACACGAATACAGCATGCTACAGTGACCAGACGTATTTTGCTGACAGCCATTGCTTTTCTGTTGTAATTCCATCCATGAACAGAAACAGAAATGAAGAACAAAATGAATGAAATGGCACGAGTTGTGAATGACTTGAGGAAGCGATCCCGGTATGCTGTACGATTTTTTTGTTCCAGTAACTGTGTCCTCAAGCTGTCAGATATTAATAGAGCTCTGAGCAGTTTCAATCTTGAGCAATACATTAATTCAGTAAGAGTATGTGCATGCAGTGACTAGAAGGTTATAGGAAGACTTCATTTAGAGAGGTTCTTATAGGCAGAGTTTCCAATTGTACCTTGTATACTATGCTGTAAATATCAAATTCACGATGTAGCAATTACAAACCACATTTTTTTCTAACTAAAGGAATAAAATAAAAGTCACCAGTAAATTAAGTAGCATCTAGTTCAACACTTAACAGTCACTCAATCACAACCACCACAAAACATGTTTATCCAGTTGTAAAATTGGATTCGGACATACCATGTGAATGGTTTGCAGTTGTGCTTTCTAAATGTATGGTACTGTTAGGGGGAACGTTTTGAAATGTCAAGTTGACTAATTGCCGTTAAAATTTAACAGCATGAAGCAGCCTCTGTATGCGTTTTCTTCAGAAACTGCACCTGCCTCCCACAAGCAAACATACCTGCTAAAAATCACAAATTTCATAAACTTCACCCACCTGTAAATTATTATAAGTTGTCACATTTTGTCTGAGGAAACGTAAAAAGATCATGTATTTGGAGTGTTATTTACAATTGCTGTCATGATGTACATGTATTTTCAGCTTTGACGACTCTGCAGTGCACATCTTGACCAGTCTGCATGAGACACTGACAATTGCAAATGTAAACGTGGAGGAGAGAGTTGCCCTAAAGACATTCTTTGTCAAGGCTGGTGGCCCAGGTGTGTGGATTATATATATGTGACTGTGCGCCTGTACTAGCGAATGTGTTCAGGATTTAATTTTATTCGCACATTAAACATAACTGTAATTGCTTGTGAGAGTTACAAATAATTGTTTCCCATCATTACTAGAAAGTTGTTCCCTGACAACGTATTAACTAACTGTGATGTCTGCTTAAGTCAAATGGTGACATTTAATTAACACTCTTCTTATTTTGTTCATAATAGAGCAAATAATGTTTAGTTGACACATTACATGGTATAATGTATCAACAAAATTATCACTAAACATAGTATTAGTTAATTAATGTACACATGTATTATACTTTACTGACCGTTCAGTCTTGCTGAATAAAATAATTCATGAGTAATTTTATGAAATACCAATTCTTATCATCTGAATAACACTTGATTGTATTACAATTTAGCACCACATCATATGGTAAATTTAGCATTCAGTATTTTTTTTTATGTATCAGGATTAAACAATGTAAAGATAAAGACAGGAAGTCCCCGGGTAACGTAAGTTGGTCTTCCGTAACCCGAGTACTGCCTGTAATGGTAAAAACAAGTATTTAAAAAATTTCAGTAGATATACTAAGAGGTATCTGTTATTACAATGGAAGGTTATGGAAAATACATGGAAGCTTCAAATTTAGAAGGAAGTGATCAACTATGTGCAGTTGCGGTTATTTCTAAAGCACATTTTTGTTGAGGGGTTGGTAATCTTGCTGCATATGATCATACGTCAGATATATTATGCAGTACTCAGTTTATAGAACAACAATCACACGTTGTGTTTGGTATTCCTAAGACGTCTCGTTCTCACAGAGCTGTTTGAGAAGATCAGGAAGTCTCCGTGCTCGGACGGCTCGGAGTTTGCCCTGCACACGGTGACAAAGCTCATTCTGGAGGTCATGACCATGACAGCTGCAGAGCAGGGTGAGTGCCAGCTGCTTCGACAAGGAGCAGGCTTTATTTTAGTCTTTTAGTCTCCAACTCGTGGCCTTGGGGGTGACTGTCTTCAAAGTGAATTGTGGATGCTCAGCCTGGTTCAGTGTTTTGGAGCTGCAAAGTTTCATAGCAACAAAATATGGTAACTTTATTATTGAAAGTATATATTTTTAATGTTGCAAGTCTATAAGTAATTATGTCTTGTTGTCTGTGTGTAGTGGAAATACCAATTGCCATTATAGTACTTTCCTAAACACAAGTCAGTCATACTTTTCTTCAACCACCATCTGTCCACTGCTGAAGTCCTCCCCAAGACTCCACCATCCCTCATGGTCCTGTGATGCTACAGTCCATGTCACTCCTGCATATGGACTAATGCTATTGCTCCACCTCCACAGTAGTCATCCTCTGTTGTGCATGTTCTACTTTGGCTGCCCCTTGGTCACCAGCCTCTTCCTTTGGCCATTGTGTTCTAGTGATATGTCCTGCTACTCTAAGCTAACATTCTAAAGGCACTCATTCTGCGTGATAATTACGATTGTTTTTATGTTATCGTAATTAACACGATCGGATTAGCACAATGAACCTGACTACCCGAGTTAAATTCCCAGGCACGGTTAAAGTCAGGGGTGAGCGATATCTGAACTGCTCCTGGTCCTGGCCCTCACCCAACCTTTTACAATGGCCAGCATGGAGAAGTATGGTCCAAACTACCCTGAATGAAAGGTGTGGGGGAAATCTGCATCCAACAGTGGACTGGACAATTACTATGTTTTTTATAATGATTAAAAAAATAAAAATTTGTATCTATGGATTGGAATTTTTACTTTGTATTTTTAAGAATGCCATTGCTGACGTTACATACAGGAATAGTGCTTGCTTGTATTTATTAAACATCATGGTGGTGTTTGTCTATTATAGGCCTGGATATGAAGAAACTGGAGCCAGTGAGGGAGATGGTTCGAGACCTGAAGAAGCTGTCCAGGTGAGAAGCCGGTGGCTGCTGTTTAGCACGTGTGCATGCCTTGCAGCCAGAGAAGGGACTTGCAATGATGGTTACAGTGGCCTCCTTTGGGGTTTGCATGTTCTGGCATTAATCTCTTGGGCAGGACACAGTGCTAGATGGGATGATGGCCGACAAGGAGAGAACGTGTTCAACAGAATGACCACCTTGAAGATGGTGCAATGAGATCAGCTTAGGTGCAGGAATAAGATGGAAATTAACAGACTCCAATAGTGGAGATGATGATACTATCCTGATAAAAGCCATTGCTACATTTTAAAACAAATAAAATAAAATAGGTTAATTGGTACATATACTTTGCTGGACAATTATAAAAAGAATGTGTTTAAAATATTAAATGTTACACTATATTAAAATGTAATTAAGTTTCTTCGACTTGACATGGAAAGTTTTCTGTGCTCTGCAAGCTGGGTAGATTCTGATTCTCTAACCATGGTAAACATGAGGATACCTGGGATTTGAAAGAGTTTCTGGTGGCATTTTTCAAGTTACAGCTACTGTGTGCTTCACATAAAACCCACAACAGATCCCACAGCACCTTACTCAAGTGTCACTACAGACATACAAAACTGTTGAGAAGTTGTTCAGGCTCTATAAAATGAACTTTCACACATTTTCCAGATCATTACCAACCAAGATTTCTTCACTACACCAGCAGCATTGCCATCTAATGTATTTTAACCCCTTTCCACGGACAGATTTGACTACTCTACAGTGCAGGCTCTGAACAGACTGATTGAGATGATGACATTTAACAGCACAAAGAGTGAAAAGATCGCCATGAAAACAATCTTTGTGAAGGATGGTGGCGCAGGTGAGTGCTGACACGTTGACAATTTTTGTGTAGGCTTATGTCATATTTATCCCGTAACAACCCGGAGTAATATAGATAAAGTCTGAGGATGAAAATGAATGAAGTGAATTACTATGCTTATTCATGGTCTCATGGAATCTGTGTGGGGTTCCCAGAACTTCTCAAGAAGATGCAGGAGTCTCCCTCCCCAGACGACTCAGAGGCACCAATCCAGATGGTGACTGAGCTCTTGTTTGAGCTACTGATGAGCTTCACAAAAGAAATTGGTAAGAAAAACAATCGGTGGTCTTCTTGAGTTTGCTGCCTCAGGGGAGGTTCTTTTTTCAAGATGCCTCTGTCTTGTCTCATCTTGTGATTTCCATATCATATTGACATATAGCCACATTATAACAATAATAGGGTTTTCCCCATTTTTTCTGGCAACAAAACTGAAACCTTTTTACAAGGATTCATGTCTGCATTAACCACAATACTTGCAGTCAAAATGCAAACAAAAAACACACTATGATAATATATGCATTGTCCTCTGGTCGAGCACCAATTGGGTCGAGGCTCAAAAGAAAGCCATCCCTTGGTGTGGACCAATCAGTTTCGGAGATAAATGTTGTGCCATGGAGCATTTAGAAAACTGCCCATATAATGAAGTTGACTTGTTTGCTGTTGGCCGACAGATTTGAAGAATTTTCATTAATGTCTACATTTAATTTACTCCATTTTCATTTTTCTCCATGTTTGTGGTCTATACTACAAAAACCTACTATCCTTAGTTTATTTAAATATAACGGAAAACCAGTTATCAAAAATTTTATATATTTACCTACTTGTATGTGACTGCGGACTGCATGATTGCATTGCTTGCTGTGATGCTTAAATAAACGATCTAAAGCATATGTTGCATTCTATGCTGTACTGTTACAGATTCAGAATGGGATGAAGGTGCGATTGAGCCCATTATAAAACTCGTAACTCACCTGAAGAAGGAATACTGGTGAGTAGCAACTACACACGTGCATTTTTAATGCTTTAAACCCTAGTAGTCATCAGCAGCCATGATCTATTGTCTGCTGGATGAAGGCCTCCCCAAGCCATCAACATATATCACTGTCTTGCAATTAAAACCATCTCAGCCTTTTATTATTGATGTATTCCTGTGTACGTTCACTCCTTTGTCTGACCACTGTCGTTATTCTTGATCACTGGCCATCATTTTTCTTGTTAATTTGCACATTCCCATCCTGTCGTGTCCTATAACTGCTGCAGATGCAGCTACAAGCTAACGAGTTCCTTTCAGTGACCTGCCCTTACTTTCCTTAACACTCAATGTGTTCCTCTCTCTATCTTTTCATACAATTCCAAGCATGCACTCTCTACGCTGTTGTGCACTTTTAGCTTTTCTTGCATTTTATTTGTAAATGACAATGTCCCTTATGTAATAGCTAATCATAAAAAAAGTTATTTCAAACTAACTTGTTCTGATTTAATGTTGAGTCTGAATTGATCGTTGAGTTACTTTTGGGACTGGAGGCAATGCTAGTGCTGCTCGTCTGAACACGTTAACGCATCTACCCTAGGATAGTTTGACAGAGAGCAGAGAAGCAAACTGTATAGAGCAATGCATGTGTTGTTGCACCTGAATTACGTCGCAAACACCATGGTGGCACCAGTACCAGTACAGCATTGTTCCAATCATTCTTTGCTCACTGTTGCAGTATGTTTGCCTATTGGCTGTAATTAAGCGAGCACATTTGGAAAAAGACAATGTGGTTAACTTATATGCATTTCCCTTTCTGACAGCTTTGAGCGCAAGACAGTTGAAGTGCTCAAAACCCTTCCTGCCATCATGAACATTGACCTTCCCATGGAGGTTAAAATGAACATAAAAGCAGCCTTCCTGCGGGCAGGAGGTGCTGGTACGTAAACATTGCACGAGTGCCATCACTGGCCTTTTTAAGTACGAACTTTACGTTACTTTGTTATTTCTTTTATCGATGTAGCATTACATTACACTGCTTTCAAGCAAATCAGAAAGTGTGCCTCTGTGTGTGATCTGTAACCCCACATGACTCCATTTTCCAGATCTGTTCAAGTCTCTGCAGCAATTTCCTCCTCCAGGCAGCTTGGGAATCAAGCTGCAGGAAGCCATGGCAGATATTTTGACAATGATGATGAATTTCTCTGCAAAGGAGAGTAAGTCATGTTTCATTTTATCTTGTTTGAAAACAACTACTGCTAAAATATTTGTGTACATCCATTATATTGATGTGTATTTGAGGCGCCACGGTGGCGAGATGTTCACTACCTCGTCTGGTATACAGGAGGTAGTGGATTTGATCCTGACCCCGACGCTTTATAATTGGAGTTTCCATGTTCTCCCCATGATCGTGGATTTTTCTCCCGGTCTCCGGTTTTTGCCTCCATATTTAGAAACTACTATAAATGTCCACATGATAAGCCACTTCGTTGAACTATAATTTGTGGTCAGGTCACTTCTGAAAAGAGCTATATAGCTCAGTGGGCTTTACCTGGTAAAATAAAAATAGTTTATATTTGTATAGTCTGAGCTCAATAGTAGTGCAGGGACTTCTTCGTTTCCTCGTAAACATTACATTTACTGTGCTGAGATATGAACATAGTACTGTACTTCCAAATCTGACAGGAGTTCATGTAATTATACGAAAAAAACATTTAAGGTTAGCAAAGTCAATGGACTTCAAAACTACATTAACATGAATCGTCAAAACATATACTCGTGGTATTGAGCGTTTTGCTTTAGTCGTATAGCTTTCACCCAAGGCTGCTCGGCTACATACAGCGCCGGGTTTAACCTATTTAGCAACATTCATGTTTAATGCAGCGTCCTGATTGCATGCGTAGTTTTATGGAGTGTTGAGTAATGTTACGGAGTGTCCATCCTGTGGTCTGGAAAGATTGCAATAGATTAACATTAAATTGTGTCTAAAATTGTGTCCTACTCTTATAACCTCCATACTTAACTTTACAATTCTACATTTCATGCCTTCGTACAATAAACGTATTCATTTGTAATATACACACACACTTAGAAACTATATGAAATAATTTGATCCAGGAAGAAGTTGCATCTCATTTTCATGGAAGTCCAGTCCTCACAAGGGAAGAATACAGGTGTACACAAATGATTTATCATGGGAGGTGTATACATTTGGGAATTAAACTGGCACTGCTACTTTTCGATTTAAAGCTTTCGTGACTGCAGGGATTCATCTTCTTGGTTCTTTCGGTAAAGTCACGTAGAAGGGACTTTACCGAAAGAACCAAGAAGATGGCACTGCTACTGTTGAAAATAATGTCACAATGTAACTACCACTTAAAACAAACATTTCCTATTTTTCCTTTTTGCATTGAACATGTTAACTACTGTGTATGTTACTCCTGTATGTCTGGCTGCTTTTGTTGCTTTGGTTAGAGCACTTCATTTACAATCAGAAGATTGTGAGTTTGAGTTATCTTAGCTTATCATCTCTGGGAAGTGAACATACGTTTTCCGATTGAGTGATTGGTCTCCATCTTAGGATTGTAGATTCCACCACTTGCGCAGTGCCCCTCTATTGCACATTTGTGGACATGCACTTTGGCTTTGAATTTATATTCTGCTCCTGTGTGTGAGGAGACGTGCAATATGCAAGTCATGAGGCTGAGCTGCCTTCCAACCTGTTTCCTTTCTTGCTCGTTTAGCTCCAGCTCTAGCAGGCATGTGCGACGATCTCGACGGCCTCCTTGACTTCAAAGGTATGGTCCAGCATGTCAGTGTCGGCAGTGATTCGAATTAACTCTTGCAGCATCAGTCATTAAAGTGGTGTTCATAACAATTCATTATTAACATTCTCATTGATTTGTTGTGTCATCTAGATATGAGATAATTTGTAAATTCATAGCTGCCTAATGGCATTAGCAGCATATTCATTAAACTTAGAGATGCAATAGATCTTGCTTCTGAGTTTCAATTATCATTATAAAGTGACAAGTGTATATAGCTAATTTAATGGTAGAATACTATGGCAGAGAATTCATAAGAATATTTCCCAAAGGTGTTATAACATGAAGAATCCATTACTCCTATAACCGTTGTAACGCCAGGGAATGACCGACACTTGTTCATTTCAATGCACTGACTCCAAGTTGCAAGGAATTCGCACCCAATACGCTCCTTCTTGGGTTTGCAAACCCACCCTGGGGTTGTTGCCTCTTCTTATCTACTGTCGAGAGCTGCCACTAGTGGTCCAAGGGAGACCGGGACTTCTGCTGTGTGGCTCCCCACAAGTGGAATGGTCTCTCCAACCATATCTACCGCAAGAGCACTGTCAATGTTTTTAAGTCACAATTGAAACGTTTCATTAATACCATTGCTTTTGGAGAACTAGACCAAGCACTTGGTGCAATCTGTTTGATAGTTTTTTGCATAGCACTTTTTATATATATATATACTTTCGTAAGTGTTGAAATGTTCACTTGTACAGTGCTCTAATGACTTAGAATTCCCACGGTCATGGAAAATTCTGTGGAATTTTTTTTGGAAAATAGCCAACATTTTAAATGTCATGAATTTTAACTCCAGGTAGCCATTCAATTTGGTGGAATTTCTGAATCATGGTTATGGCAGTCTTCCATTTAGGTGATTTCTCTAAATCTGGCGTTCAGTGTTCTTCCACAGTATTTTAAGTAGACTAGTCTTCATGAGACCAATTGCAAAACATGAGTTTTCCTTTACACTATTGAGTACTCTTTAACTATTAATAGCTGGTGGCTTGTTTCGTTAAATCTTCTTTTACTTTATTATCAGTATGTAGTGTTAACGTGGGTGGTTTGGATGGCTGGAAGGGGAGGAGGCCGTCTTGACAAAAGAGCTGCTTTTGTGGTTGTCTTTCCGATCCTGTACAAATCCAAATTTCTGGCCTTTTTGTTGTATGCATTGAAATATTTAGTCATAGAAAATTTGAAATTTGGAATGTAGAAGTTATGGAAAAAAACAGATGTGTGGGAATCCTGTTTGTGATTTGTCACTAAAAGGTGCTTCATAAATATGTAATAATTAGTATTCGTAAAGCAGTTCAAGTTGTCCTGTATTTTGTGAGCATTTGCTTCCATTGGTTGTTGTGGGTATAATTTTAAAACAAGACATTGCAAAAGCTGCATTAAGTTGTTTAATTCTGAATATATTTTTTTATCTCCCTTCAAGCTGACTAACTTCAGCATACTTGTGATTTAAAAAAATCATGACAATTTTGTTTCCTATTTTGATCAGGTTTATCCCATGAAATATGATAGTGATTATGACTTAATGCTTTAATCCAGATTGCATTTCGCTGACAAGCTCTCTGTTGTTCCTTCAGATCTCGCAGTGGCAGCCGATTCCCACCCTCCAAAACGCAAGCAGAATGGTACGGTGTACTGCTCTGTTAGGCTTGGTAGACAAGGCAGCTCCACCCACATACACCACTGTCACTCATGTGTAGCTGTAGGTTTCAGCAGCATCAGAGCCTGAGATGCATCTTTAGCAAGTTTGACTAAAAACATGTATTTGCTACTGTAAATGAAAACAGCATTGTATTAATTTAAAGTATAATTTCTTCAAATAATACATTGTGGTGAAACATATTCCTATTATTGCCTTCATGTAAGCTTCTGAAATATTTCCAACAATGTTTGGTATTGTTTCAATGCAAAATCTTCTCTAAAGCAAATATAGCAACAGTTGCAATTATATTCAATGCAGCGGAGGTATCATACATACATACATTGCATAATTCAAGCTAAATGTTGTATGGCCTATGGGATGTGGTAAACATGGCTAAGTGCGCAAGGTTTAATTCAGACCTCATCAACATGATTTCTTGCAGTGGTGTGGATTTGGTCAAATAATTTCTTACACTCACCACTCCACAGATTGATCTTTACTTTAACCAATGGATGATATAACTCGATAGAGATTACAATTAATGTTACATTACTCATAATAACATCTGTAGGTCAATGGTGTGATTTACATAATTTTTATTTCCAACTCGAGGGAAGCCCATCCTATAGACAGTGACGTGAAACCTGACCCCCCACACTTGATGCACACCTGACATTAGTCACCTGACACTCACCAGTCACCACTTTCACAGCACCACTCGCCACTTACAACTCGGCAGTCACCACACTCACCACTCACCTGACGCTACTCAAATTCACTTAACAACTCACAGACACCAGCAAAAACTCACCAGTTATGTACCACCTGACACTCACCATTTATACTTTCCACAATTTGTCAATCACCAGAAATTCAATACCATATGTTCATACATGCCTCTGGTCAGAATAATCCTTGCCTGGAACCTGTATGATGTGAATTACTTAAATAAATGTTGCGACAGACAGTTTAGCAAATGTTATTGCAAATATAGATTGGGTTTAGCGCGACTCTACGTAACAATGTATGGTTGAGGTTACATTTCCCTGCTGACTTCTGCACTGTGTTCTTCAGATCCAGCAGGAGGAGCAGCTTCCAGTCCCCCAAAACGAAAGCAAGACGATGGTAAGCTGTGTTTTTGCGAGAGTGTAGTTGGCTCTACTCAAGAAAATAACTATTTGAAGTCTTGTTGGCAATTTCAGTTAATGGTAGTTGTAGCTCTGTTTTAAATTTTTTTATTCACTTGAAGTTACGTAAGAACACTTACATATGGGTCACGTTTTTACTGCAGAACACAATCGGGTAATTTAAAAGTACTTTAATTATTTTTGTGAAAACTAGATTCGTCCCATTACTCTTTAAAAAGGCTTAAAAAAATAATTAATGTATACATGGTAACATAAAATTAAGTACATTGCATTCGCAATTGGCACCACCATGGTGGAGCATTGGTTCACCTCTGCCCTGAATGGGGAGTGTTCTTTAAACAGTATTAAGCAAAGCATCAATCCCTGCAAACCAGGTTTCCTTTGCTTATCACTCAAACACAATACTGGCCTGGCACACACAAGCGCAGTGCCTTCACTTTTGAAGTTTACGTGATCAGGAAGTTGGTATATCTGTTCCAGTTGTTATAAATTAAGCATATAATTGACTGTTTAAATATATGTTTATTAAATGAATGTTTGATTTATGCATATTAATAATCTATAAAAACAATAGCATGTCATCAGCAGCGGACCACGTAGTTTACAGAAGTACACATTGCAAAATGCCACATCATACCGATTATTTACTTCCCATGCAAACTATTCCAGACCATGTTTTTTGGTTACATTTATTTTTAAAAGTTATTTCCTTTTTATTTTCAGGTAGCCTTTCACTCTTACCCTTACTGAGTCCAACTAGTTTTACTTTACATGTTTCATCAGATAAAAAGTCTGTTTAGCAACCAGTAATTATAGACATCATGGGACCTCCTTTGCCAGTATCAAAATATGATAATAAGTTTTTCCCCTTTTTACTGGCAACAAAACAGGTGTTAACATGTTAAAACACCAAACTGAAACCTTTTACAAGGAATCATGTCTGCATGAACCACAATACTTGTGGTCAGAATGCAAATATGCATTGTCTTTGTGCTGTACGCCTTTTGGTGTCCTCTGGTCTATAACACCTTTTGATACTAGGCTCTAAAGAAAGCTGTCTCTGGTAGGGACCTTTTAGTTTCAAGGACAATGCATATATTATCAGAATATGTTTTTGTTTGCATTCTGACCACACGCATTGTGGTTAATGCAGACATGATTCCTCGTAAAAGGTTTCAGTTTTGTGTTTTAACATCTTAACACCTGTTTTGTGACCAGAAAAAGGGGGAAAAAAACCTAATTCGTATCAGTAATTATAGATTTTCCACAAATAGCCAGGTGTCAGACTGGTGGTAAAAGTATTCCAAGTTAAACTGAATCATTCCTACCTAATTATCTTTTTATGTGTGAGGTTATGTATCCTTAGCAATGCCCCGTTTAGTTTTCCATGGTATTACACGTTAAAATGTGATTACATTACCATGTTGTTATGTTATGAACAAACATGATCTTTTGCTGTATGTGTACTTTATTAGTTGCCAGTGCTAACGCCGCTTCACAAGGTTGCCTCAATCACTATTATTCTCAGTCTAGTGGCCAGATGAAGGCCTTTTATACATCATCAGCAGCTACAAGATTCCATCTGCCATCCTATTTATCCATGTTGTGCTGCTTAACCTGCATTGTTGCCTCTCTCGTCTGTTTACCATCTTGCATGTCTTGGCTGTCTCGTTTAGCCTGATGCACTAACTTTTTTCAGATGAGGTTTTTTTTCTGAACCTCCAAAGACAGTCATTAGCTGTTTCCAATTTCAACAGCCTTGACTAAACTAAAGTTAGTCTTTTATTTGTCCTACATAGTTCAGAATAAAAGTTCTTTTTTTTTTACACCAGCATATTCAGAACAAATGCATAAATCAACCCAGTTATGAGTTGACTATATTACAGCAGCAATGTTACAGGTACCACTTGACCAACTGTACCCAGTAGTTCAGTGGCATTTTTCAGTAGCAGCTGTACCAAAACAAAGGACATGATTTGCGAATGCTTAGTTTAATGTTTTATAAATCTGTTGCCAAATTCACGTGGAAAATAGACATTGTCAATGCATGATCAATACATAAATCTGGTGCTTATTAACCATGTGAGTCAAGTATGTACATCATAAACCAGCAAGTGCAAGGTCTTGTGGTCGATGAAATGTATGAGCATACATGTGGGAAGATATTTAAATACATACGTGGCTGCTTACCAACCAGAAGTGTCAACATTCTAATGAGAACATGTTGATTTTTCATTTCAGACTTGGACATGGAAACTGTTCTTGAGATCATAAAGGCTATGGAGGAAAACTAAACACCTTCTCTTGAATATGTTTAATATGGGTTGTTGTTGCAATACAACAATCAATCACTGAAGACACCTGATTTTATTTCTCATTAATCTTTTTGAAACTTACATTTACAAATTTTGGGATACATTAGAAGGTTATGTTTATTCTGACAGTTTTTAAGTTGATTTTGGGGAATTATAACATTTAGACATGGTATTCATAAAAATACACTCATAGTTTTAAGTTGTATCTTTTTAAGTAGTTAAGATTCTCAAGCCCACTCTACTCTATAACAATATAGCTTACTAGTGATGTCATGGCCATGTAACAAAGTCAGTAAACCACCACAAGGGAAGCCATGTGATGCACCAATGCACAAAGCAGCAACTTTTCTCAATCATTGCTGCTATACAGCAAAACGCAACAACCTTATTGAGTCATTATAAATGCACGTATACAGTTATCTCAATTATCGGTGAGGTAATTATCCGGGATGCCTTTAACCATGTTTTCTGCATGACCACAAACATGCAGGTAAGCCGATTGCAATAAATATGGACAACACATTGTATCATCGCCTCCACTCTCCAAAGATTTTAGAGCTTAATTCACATCTGCGATCAAAAATGTGTTTTTTATTATCTGGCCACCCCTGCCTCTCAATACCCCGCATAATCAAGAGTTGACTATATATTATATTTGCAGTGTGAGAAATACATTCTTAATATATTATTATGGTTAAGTGGCTATCTATTTGTACTTTAAATTCCCTCGAGTGATGTTTAATGAATACAAAGGATAAGATTTGAAATCTCAATAATCGACACAGGAACACGTGCAATAGATGAGGACAAATTGCATCGTTATTTGAATGTGGCTATACAATAAGAACCATTCATAATTCACAATCCCAGTGACTTCCATTGTCAGATTTCCAAGGATACTAAAACAGAGCACTTGTTATAGACGCGGCCATTATGCAGCCCAGTTTTAAATAATGGAATCGCTATTCTTCTGGCTTGCTACGTATATACCCTACTCATAGCTCAACATAATTAACCTTTGTCATTATACATTCTAGCAGAGACAATAATTAGCATGTTAACTCTGTGTCATGATTAGTTTGTGGTTTGTTATCTGTAGAGTGGTTTATATTATCCATTTATGTTATCCATAACATTTACGTTTTTGTTGCATCTACTCAGAAATCACGTAGAGCAGTTCTAATGGCATTGGTAATAAATAAGAAATAGAAGTAAACACTTCAAATTCTCACAATAATGCAGCTTGTACTCTTGGTGTAATTACAATTATTTCAATAAAGCTTGGTGTGAAATGTGTTTTGCACTTGTCAATGATAATGTTGGACCATATGCATGTGCTTTTAAACAACATATGCCCTCAATGAGTTTTTTTCAGTGTTATTATAAACACCCTGCTTGGGATGTTTGGCCATTTGTTTTGCATTATTTTCTTTGAAACCGGAGAAACCACATGCATGCCAGAGAGCACTCAACACGCCCCAGAGACATCCCGTCACAAACCCACTTTGTACTGCCTCCTGCAAGCAGCGCAGAGCCAAAGCACGTGTCACAGTGGCCTGCCTCTGGATTCTAACTGGTCAACGGCATAATATCCCTGTGCGATCCATCCACCTGAACTCCAAGTCGCTACAGTGAACGAGTGTTTCACAGCAGCATATATGCGTGTAGTAAAACCCCGGCGAGCCGAACTAATGGGGGGGGAAGCACTGGTCCGACTCGTTATAAAGATAACACAAACAATACTATAAATCAGTATGTAACATGTATGATAAATTAATTATTATATATGCATTTTGTGTTTAATGCTAGATAGCAATATATACAACAAATTAATCACGTGTATTTCCAGTCTAAAACATGTAATGTGTATTTCCGGTGTGTGGCTGTACTACTCGCAGTTAAGTTGTGTTGCTACTCTCCGAAGAGCCGATGCTGTGAAAGCGTCCCCGGTCTGCAAACAAACGTAGGCATCATCCGACAGATTCGCATGTGCCCACACATTTCCTGCATGTCCAGTCTCATTTTCTTTGGAATGGGCAATGCTAGTGTGTGCAGGACAGTGGCACACGTGCAATGCGCAATGTGTGTGCTTCATGGGCACAGTCGACCTCTGAGCAGCCCGTTCAAATCCCAAATTCCCTGCTCCATAGCCCAGCAGCCTCCAAAAATGAGTAGTTCTCGCATTGCGCGATGCCGATATCTGCCATGCAGCGAAGTAAGGCGATGGGAGTGAGACGCAAGCTTAAAAATCAGTGCGTTGCAGCCATGAACCCTACATTGTCAATCACATGCTGGGTTGGTCTTGACAAAACTAATTAAAAAAGTATTTAAACTCGGTAAGGCTTTCCTGGATAAATAATATCAACTGCAGCATCAATCACCATCGATGTTGTCATTATGATTAATAGTAGCAGTAGCAAACGTTCGTAGGCCTTAGTAAAAAACATATTTGATACCATATTTCTTTGGGCCAAAAAAAATTTCACCACGATAGTGTCTAGCAGCAACATAAAAAGCAAAATGGTCCAATTTTGTCCCAATTATTTTATTTAAGATATCCAATTTTATACAATATATCTTTGCAACGTGTGCTATTTTGCAGAGAACACATGTTCATAAAATATATAAAGGGTTTTTTACTGTCATGTTAAGTCTACAGACGTGGACTTATTTGCTATCAATGTTTTCAGACAGGACCTTAAATGCGCTAGAGAGACTCAGTGGGATTGTGTGATGTCAGATCATGGATTGTTGAGGTGAATTGAGTCCTCAGTATTTATAATGCAGTCTCAGGACTATGACCTGGGCAACATCCATACTTAAGTTATTCCGTAGGCTTTTGCGACCAATATCATCTGTAAGAGGTTTTTTTTCAGGTTAGATGACTCTATTGCCATTACACGTGTATCAGTTTATCTCCGCTGACTAATGTACCGAAAGAACCAAAGAGTACGGATTCCTGCAGTCACGAAAGCTTCAAATCAAGATTGTACTTTAAGGGCTTCAGAGTGTATCAACGATATAGAATAGTCAATCTGGTTAATTTTAAAGGTTTAAATAAGATACTGTGGTCATGACCAATTCATCACCATGAAGAGGTTTGGGATGTTGAACGATTATCAATAAACGAATAATCGATTTCAGACTCAAATTATAAGTTACCTCACGTTAACTTTCGCCATGTACAGTGCCTCACGTTAACTTTCCCCTTGTGCAGTACCTCACGTTAACGTTCCCCTTGTACAGTACCTCACGTTAACGTTCCCCTTGTACAGTACCTCACGTTAACGTTCCCCTTGTACAGTACCTCACGTTAACGTTCCCCTTGTACAGTACCTCACGTTAACTTTACCATTGTACAGTACCTCACGTTAACTTTACCATTGTACAGTACCTCACGTTAACTTTACCATTGTACAGTACATCACGTTAACTTTACCCTTGTACAGTACCTCACGTTAACTTTCCCATTGTACAGTACCTTACGTTAACTTTCCCCTTGTACAGTACCTCAGGTTAACTTTACCATTGTACAGTACCTCACATTAACTTTACCCTTGTACAGTACCTCACGTAAACTTTCCCTTTGTACAGTACCTCACGCTAACTTTACCCTTGTACAGTACCTCATGTTACCTTTTCCCTTGTACAGTACCTCACGTTAACTTTACCCTTGTACAGTACCTCACGTTAACTTTCCCTTTGTACAGTACCTCACGTTACCTTTCCCCTTGTACCGTACCTCACGCTAACTTTACCCTTGTGTAATAAAGGTCGTTGAAGCGACTTCTGGAATCCGGTCTTTATTCGGATTTTCTTTGTACCCAAAGCAGAGCACACTTCTTTGAGCAATTTGGAGGAGAAGTTACGTCCTTGATCTGTGAGCAGCCTTTCGGGTGCTCCTTTATCCATGACGTATCCATTCAAGAAAGCCTCGGTGGTGGATGAGGCCGTTTGGTCAGGCAAAGGCCAGGCCATAGGCCAGCGAGAAAAATATTCGACCCCGACCGAAAGGTATTTATTTCCCCTAGCCGATGGAGGGAACGGGCCCAGGATATCTAGAGCAACCAGCTCATTAATAGGGGATACCTCGATCGAACGTAGGGGCGGGATATAATTCTGACGAGGCGGTTTCCGCTTTGCACAATCATGGCATGACCGGATAAAGTTAGTGACATCTGCTGTCATGCCGGGCCAAAAGAAATCCTGCTGCATCGCGGCCAATGTTTTCTGCACGCCGAGGTGCATCAGCTTGTCGGCGTGCAGAGCGCGGAACAGATCGTGGCGAAGGGATGTCGGCACAACCAGGCGTGAACGGTCAGACAATCCATCCGTCCACATCAGCAATCCCGCCTCACCCCGAAACATCTGCAATTTCCATCGCGCCAAATGAGATCTCAGTTTCCCAATCAGTTCCCGCAGCGGAGCCAGAGAGGCATCAGCCTCCTGCTTGCGTAGCCACACCGAGTGCGGCAAATGCAGCGTATCGTCGGCGCCAACGGGTACATCCTGGCCTTCATCGTTCGACATCGCCCCCATAACCAGGCAGGGCGAGGTAGGCAGTGCCGCACAGCGGTGCGTACCCGTCAGACAGGCGCAGGGAGGAGTCGGGGGCAACCTGGAGAGAGCGTCTGCGTTGCCATGGCGAGTACCCTTGCGGTACGTGATATTGAAGGAAAACTCCTGTAATGATTCTAACCACCGAGCCAATTGACCGGACGGTTGTTCCAATTTCAAAGAATATTGCAAGGCAGCGTGGTCAGTGCGCACGAGGAATTTCCTTCCATACAGGTACGGCCGGTACTGGCGAACAAAATGTACGATTGCTAGCAGTTCTCGTCGCGTCACGCAATATCGCGTCTCGGCAGGAGACAGAACCCTGCTGCCGTATTCCACCACTCGCTCGACCCCGTCTTTCCGTTGCGACAAAACGGCTCCTATGCCGATATCGCTAGCATCTGTGTCAAGGATGAACGGCTGTGAAAAGTCTGGGTAGTCGAGCGTCGGCGCGGTGGCCAGGTGATCCCGAAGAGATTGAAAAGAGCGCTCCTCTTCCGGGCCCCATTTAAATCTCTGATTTTTCCCCGTCAGAACATGCAGCGGCTTAGCCAGCGTCGCAAAATTCTTAACAAAACGGCGATAGTAGGATGCGAACCCTATAAACCGCCATACATCGCCAACCGAAGTGGGCGTGGGCCACTCTCGGACACACGCCGTTTTCTGAGGGTCCGTGGACACACCGTCAGAGCTGACGATGTGCCCCAAGTAGCAGACGGATCGTTGCAAAAGGTGGCACTTTTTTGGTTTAAATTTTAGGTCAGTCGAGCGTATCCTCCGAAAGACAGTCTCCAGTCGTTGGAGGTGTTCTTCGAAAGTGCGGCTGAATACAATGATATCGTCCAAATATATGAGGCACGTTTCCCACTGCAGCCCCGCACCAGTTCCATCAGGTGTTGGAACGTCGCCGGTGCCGCATTCAAGCCCATAGGTAGGCGGTTAAACTCAAAGAGGCCTTGTGGCGTGCGGAACGCCGTTTTCGGTCTGGACGCGTCATCAAGGGGAAGCTGCCAAAACCCAGACGACAGGTCGAGGGTGGAGAAAAAATTTGCCCCTGACAAAGCGTCCAACGAGTCATCCATCCGTGGCAAGGGGTATGCGTCCGCCACAGATATCTTATTCAATTGGCGGAAGTCTACACAAAACCTCGTCCCACCATCCTTTTTCTTAACCAGCACCACTGGCGCGCCCCAAGGACTGTTGGACGGCGAAATTATATCGGCCGCCAACATGTCGTCCACCGTGCCACGCACGTGTTCCCTTTCTGCAGGGCTCATGTGATGTGGGTGCATACAAATCGGTCACGCCGCACCGGTGTCGATATGGTGCGACAAGAGCGAGGTATGGCCCAGATCCAAATCGTTTTTACTGAAAACGTCAGCGTACTCCGATAATAATGAATGCAAGGCGCTCCGCTGCGTGGCCGACAAGGACGTATTTTCCCCGCACAAATCTGCGATCCATCGATCGTTTGAACGATCGGATCGTGGCCCGCCAGCGGCCATTTTTGTGGGTGGTTCACCCTCAAAGCTGGTAAAATCGGTAGTGGCATGAGCCAACACCGAGCCAGCCGGGATGACGACCCGTTCCGGGCCCCCATTCAACACTTGTATGAACGGGGCCTGACCAGGCCGAACGATAGTTTGAGCCACCACTAGGGAAAAGGATTTTGCCACAGAATTCGACGGGGACAACAGCACACCCGTCGCACCGTGCGCAGCTTCCAATCGCTTTCAGTA